CTATTAAATACGGTATAGTCCTTAAGTTTAGCATCCTTCTTTTAGATAGGGACGGGTAGTAAAGAAGGCCCTACTACTAGTTTAGTATTAGTTATTAGAGACTCCTATAGGCGGCGAATCTCGAGGAGGTTATCCTTTAGCTGCTGCTCTTAGCGTAGGGCAGTAAGCCTGTTTTAAATAGCTTCTTAAAGTCTCCCTACTAGTTAGGGCCTAAAGGCTAGTTAGCTATATCGTCGATTAATAATGTTATTAAGGATATCGTTAATAGGCAATTCTAGATTATTACCTAGAACTATAGGTTCCTTAATAGACTCTATACTACTAGTGTTGTTATTGCTAGCGCTACTAGCGGCGCCGCGGTTGTTGTTGCTTCGTAATAAGCCGGCTATTATAATAAGGGGTAATACTAATAATATATTATAGGCCCCTATAGTACGGATATAGCGGAGTTAGCGAGTATCGGTCTAGTGTAATTAACTTAGTATAATAGGCCGTATAGAAGGCCTCGCTTAATAATTAGTACGGTTATTCTAACAGAATAGTACGTATAGGTCCCGCCTTAGGCGCAATATAGTTAGATTAACGGTTTTCGTAGCTATACCGCTAAAAGCTTAAAATAAGGACTATCTAGCTGCTACCCTTAAAGGGTAGATCGAATACTATATAAGAAGGGTTATATTAGTAGGTAGATAGGGTAGTAGTAGGTGTAAGTAGTATTCGATAAGGATCTAGGAGGAGAGGGAGGAAGGTAGGAGAGTTAGCCTAACGCTAAGCGCTAAGCCCTACCTAAGGTATTAAGACCCTAGCTTTACTCGGCCTAGTTATATACTAATTACGTATAGCCTCTTTAGCCCTAATACGCCTCGATTCCTTAATTATATCGCCTTTAAAGGGTTTAGGTTCCTTTAGGCGAGGCTTAATAGCCGTAAGACTAGCGACTACGTAGCTTATACTAGGTATAGTAGCTACGCTTAGCGTACTTCTAGAAGGAGGTATTCGATACGAGAGGGATTTAGCTCTCTAGGATTTAGGCCTCTAAATCGACTCGTCCGCTAATTCTACCTCGTCCTCGCTATCGTCGTTATTATCCGAGAGAGGGGTTATCGTAGGACCTCCGCCGGCGGTACCGCTACTCGGAGCCTATATATCGCCTACGTCCCTAAGTAGACCCCGTAGTAGTCCGGGTTAGGTTAGTTTAGTTTGCTAAGCCGAAATTCTAGTTTAGTTTAGTTTAGTTTGCTAAGCAACTAGTATACGGACCGGTTTGCCGGCTATATGCCGGCTACGGACAAAAACCTATCCTAAAATACGTCTAAATAGCCCGAAATACAGATGCAATCGTATAGCGTATATAATATAGGGCCCCCGTCGCGTCCGGGACTAAATCCGAGGTCGTCGTATATCGTCGTATATCGTCGTAGTTTAGTCGGATTTTCTCGGAAACTAGCTTAGACTAGCGGGGTAAAAAACTAAACCGGAGCTAAACCGGAGGGATACCGCTAAGAAACTAAACTATATACGTTTTATAGTTCGCAAACCGAACTACTACGGGGTCTATCCCTAAGGGTATAAAGACGCGTATTTTCTCGCTTAGCTTCTTAAGCCTGTACTTCCAGCCTAAGCACTTCTTACTTAGCTAGGAATCGTTCGAGCCGTAGGCGGGTCGCTTCTCGGCGCGCCTAATATTCGGCCTCGTATTATTATATCGCCGCGTCGTTTCCTAATACTACCGGCGCTCCTAGTATATTATTTTACGCAGTTTCCGTACCTAGCGTATTCGGATCGCTTACGTTTATCTTTCGGGGTTCTATAGGCTACTACGAAGGGTAGACGGTTTAGAACTATAAGAAAATAGGTATATAGCAACGTATAGAATACCCTCTACTAATCGTAGTAGTAGATAGTAGAACTAAACCGTATCTTTCTAAGAATAGGATAGAGCGTTTACTATTAACTAGGCTACGTACGGATAGTATATCTACCGAGCTAGCTACCGAGTATATCTATATAAGCGACCGAGCTTCTCCGCATATATACTAAGTAGGCTTTACGCTAGCGGGATAGTACCGTAGTATACGTAATAATATTATATAATTGTTATATAGGCTTACTAAGGCAGGATAGGAGACTTTACTTGCTTAGGTTCTTATAGTTATCCTTTCTTTTTAGTAAATCTAGATAGAAGAAGCTAATTCTCTAGTCTTATAATCGGTCTAGGTTACTAGCCTCGTTAAAGATAGGCGCTCTATTTCTATTATTTATAGTAGTAGTAGGCGTTGCCTTAGGCGTCTAGCTTGCTAGCGCTTATACTACCGTAGCCTAAATAGCGGCTAGTAGTTCTATAGAGATAGTCTCTCTCTATTCCGCTATAGTAGGTATAGGCTAGATACTCGTTATCTAGGTAGTTACTATTAATACTTATATTATTAACGCAGTTAATAGTTATATACTTATAGTAAGGTTATTATAGTAGAGGCTATTATTATTGCGTTAGGCGATTGCTATAGAGGCTATTATAACTACTATAGCGATCTAGAGGGAGCTACCCTTAGTTTAGAAGATAACTTCCCCTTTATAGGTAAGTGCCTTCTAGACCTAGCTACTATAGTAGTCGTAGATAGTAAATTTAGTCTATATCTTCTTTTATAAAACTATAAAAAAGAGTTCTATATAAGGTAATAGTATACTAGCGAGTCGAGCTATTTAGGCGGATAGGTCTCTATCCGCTAGAAGTCCTATAGAAAGCGTAATAAATAAAACCTAACTTTCGCGTTAGTAATTTAGTTAGTTTATATATATATAGCGAAAGCGTAGTCGTCGTTTATAGGATTTATATAGATATATATTACTCTATATATATAGTCGTAAAGAAGTAGTAAGGGGAAGTCGTTAGGCTCTTAGTCGGCTTAGCCCCGATCTTGTTACCTTATCCTAATAGCGTCTCGAATAACTCCTAGTAGTACGAGAGTTTAGTATAAGTAAAGCTACTAATTATTATAAAGTTATTATTATAGATATTTATATAGAGGAGGAAGGTTAAGTATAGAGGTAGCCGCTCCTCTATTAGTTAGCTTAGCCCTTAACTGTTCCTTCCCTTATTCCGTAACAAGAGCTGTCTAAGGAACGAGGGTTAGCTCAGACCAAGCAAGGGCAGGCAACACGGACAGAGCCCTGTTAGCTGTATGTGGCGCGAGAGAAGCAAAATTTGGAGCCTTAGGTTTGTTGCCGCCTCACGCCTCACGCCTCACGCCTCACGATGATACTGGACAAGGCTAGAGACTCGCGTCAGAAACGATACATGTTATATCAGCATTGACATGGTATGTGGACCCTGCAACTGGAGACGACCGGCGCTGCGAACGGGTTGCGGAAAAGCCAGAAATGTTGTGTGTGCTCACAAGGCTCATAGACGAGCTTCATCCAGTAACCGCAGTAGTAGTGCCTCATTGCGACAGTGAGCATCTGCCAAAGGATGCCATGTCCATCACTCATATCGCCCGCTGCTAATCGAGAGGCTTGCACGTGCGATTCGCATCTCGATGGGTGGCGTCTGCAGCACCCTTTCCTTTTGCACCCTGCTGACGACGACTGCTGCTTCAGAACCCTTGACACCTGATCCGCATGCGGCATTGCACGCTCTTCCCTGGCTGTACTGCTCTTTATCGCCGGACTTGATCAGGTTTCAGCTGCTGCTGCTGCTGCTGCTACATTGCCCGCTCCTACTGGCATCCTGGACAGCGGGCACTGTCATCAAGCCTGCCGTTGTGGTACAGCATCGAGATTCATATTCGAGAGATCGACCCGTGGACCTCCCTGTCCCGACAAGCATCAATTCTGGAATGAACGACTTGCCCTTCGAGCACGAGCACGAGCGCTCGAAGCCACTGGTGCTTGCTACACTCACTCGATGAGACAGACGATCGATGCTGCAAGCAGAGCCTGCTCCAAATCCTCTCAGGCAGATATCTGTGCAGCATCTTCGACTCATGGCATGCCTCTGACGCCCTTTTCGCCGGCAGTTGGTGATGAGCAATCCCCAAGCGCCGCGGAAGCTGGGCCGGCGGCGGCGTGCTGCCAGGAAACCCACATCAGATCCGATCCTTCGCACGTCTGGAAACACCGATATACCATGCATCATTGCAGGACACTTCGCCTGAGATGACCGAGCTGTCAACACCTGTCACGAGCTGAAACCAGAATCCCGATGCAAACTCCTCTGAGAGTCAAGCAGAACCATCTCAGGGCCGCATGCTTCGAAACACGGTCTTCGAACGATTCGACAGGAACATGCCATGTCGACATACTCACCAAAACTCACACGACATCTTCCCTGGTAGACATACATACATACCTGACGAGCAGATCATCATCATCACATCGCGCAGTGTTGACCAAGCTTGCATCTAGAGACGCCACGCCCTAACCACCCATCAATCATGATCAGACCAGCCCATCAAAGATCCACCATCGTGCATCGCCGTAACCAGGACCTCCCTGCTTTCCAACCCGCTCGCCCACAATCTATACCAAAACACATTGCCAAACATCCCATTTCCCTCTCTAAAACACGAGTGAATGACAATCCTACATAGCAGAACAGGGGAGTGGAGTGGTGACAGTAAAATGCTAGAAAACTCTTGTCTCCAAAAAAAAAAAAATCTATATGTATTTATCAAACTCGGGAGGTAGGTAGGTAGGCAAGTGCCGTGCCGTGACCGACGAGGCCAACGCATTATTAGTTTTCTATGACAAAGCAAAAGCAAAAGCAAAGCAAAAAGTCCCTGTCTCGCTTCGCCGATCTCCTACGATTACAGATAGGACAGGGCATACATACATACATTTATACGGTACTAGATTTCGTAAGGGCCTTGTTACTCGCTAAAATAAGTAAGCACTTTTTGCGTGTGTGTGTGTGTGTGCGTCTCTAGGAGTGAAAGGTAAGAAGAAGGACAGTACTATAGTTTAAGGACGACGGGTATCAAACTAATAAATCTATCATCTCATTCTCTGAGTTCTTTCCTTCCCTTCCCACCAGTCAAAAAAATCCAAGACCTCCCTTCCTCCCTTCCAATTAACAACAGCAACAACAAGTTTTTTTTTGCCTCGCGGCATTCCGGCATTCCGGCATTAAACCGTTCGTTCCCATCTCTGCGCTGGACCTCCCACGAAGAAGCAGAAACAAACTACCCCCCCAAAAAAACCGCCGTGACTGTGCCTCCCCGCACCTCCCTCCAAAGCGCATCCCACGTTCTGTGACGCGTTGGAAATGTGTAATGAGCAAACCTCCTCCTTATCCTCTCCTCTCCTCTCCTCTCTTCTCCTCCCAACCGAAGCTGTTATCATCAAGAAGAATCCCCCCAAAAAAGACATTACCAGGTACATGTATCATACAGGTACGTCCAACGTGATCTTGTGATGATGAGCAGTCAGTAGTAAGTCTACCACATCCAAAGTACAGGCCATTGCCTCCCAGCATTAGCTTGCCAAGTCGCTTGATCGAGTGTAGTAGGCGCAGGAGTTGTTGTATTTCTTCCTCCAACATTGTTGTTCGTGTGACGCGCAGCAGCAGCAACGTCGTCGTCGTCATCCCTCACTTCCGTCTTTGCTGGCTCCTCGGCGGCCGATCCAAGCGATGAGAGTGACTGTTGATTCCTCGCGGTCCCGCGCCCGTAGCCGTACTGCTGTGACTGCTTTGCCTGTGCGACGACTGATGCTGATGGTGGTGATGAGCATGATGACTGCCGCTGTGACGGGGACCGCGAACCTGAGAAAAAGACTGGCTTGCCTGTTGGACTTCCTGGGGAGAGTGCTGCTGCTGTCGTTGGAGTTGTTGTTGTTGTAAAGGGACATCCGTATTGATGGGAGTAAAAGCTGCTTGGGGAGGTCTGGTCGGACCTGCTGAGGGTGTAGTAGTAGGGAGTCGACGTTGCTGCTGCTGCTGCTGCTGCTGCTGCTGCTGCTGCTGCTGCTGCTGCTGCTGCTGCTGCTGCTGTGTTTGCTGTTGCTGATAGACACTAGACATGTGTGGTGGGATGCCAATGCTGTATGATGCAGGACCCACAGGTGCCATGCTGTAAGGAGACATTACGGCTGGGAATGGTGCCGCCGTGACCTGACTGACCGGTATGATCGGGGAAGGAATACTCGGCGTAGTCGGATGTGATGGGTTTGAAGGATGTGCGCTGCCCGCCATATGCCATCCCAACGGTGCAAAGGCATGCGGTGAATATGACTGCAATCCGAGGTCCTCGAGGAGGAACATGCCCGTGTTGCCCATTACGGCGTCACTCGGGAAATCTGTCATCGAAGCCGTATCGATCGGAAGCGGAGGCTGGTAAGCGTTTCGTGTTGTCTCGGCCTGCTGTCGGCGCTGCGCCGCCCTGTTTCCGATCACAGCCAGTCCGTCTGAGATGCGCTGCACCGCGAGCTCAGCCAGTTGATGGACGCCGTGCTTCTGGAGCTCTGAGAAGACTAGATACGCTTTATCAACCCAATGGATGTTGACATTATTCTCCGTCTCCCATGCATCAAGGATGAGGATCATGGACGCGTTGAACGCCTGTTGTCCCATTGTCCAGCAGATGAGAACTTCTGGCTTGCGCAGATAGAGAAACATGAACGCCTGAATGAGGGCGCATGACGAATTGATGACGAGGGAACGGCCTCTCAGTGGCGCGGGATGTAGGGGATGCTCTGAGTAGAGTGAGCTCTGCATCGAGGATGGTCGGGGAGGAGGTCCCATAGATCCAGGCGGTGAATGCTCGCTCGCAACTCCTTGAGTGCGTTCGATCCGTTGCCGATTCAGAAGGATGAGAAACGATTGCACCTTGGCATAGAGCACTGTCACTGTCAGCGAATTCCTACCACACCTCGAATAATGGTGACGACCTACTCGCAGACATCACTTCCAGTGGCCAGTCCGGAAGCGCGGTGTGCTCTTGCGACCAGCTCTCGTTGAACTGGAGGGCCTCGGGCATCGTATCCCACAGGCCAAGCAGTTTGTCGGTGAATTCGTCAATCCGCCCCACGTTCATCATGCCATCGCTACCGAGAATCTGACGTGCCAAAATGGTCAAGTGGTCGACGAATTCGCCGAGTCGCAAAATGGTCGGGTTCGTGGTCAGCTGTTCGGGAGGTGGACAGTCACCGAAGCCAGAGATTCCAAGCGGCCGGCCCAGTGTGACGGAGTATTGCTGGTCCATGTGCAACATCCACCACCAGAGTGTCTTCCTGATCATGCTCTCTCGAAGAGGAGGCGTGGGTTCGAGGAGTTGCGGATTGCGGTGGAGACCGATCGAATGCGCCATGCGAATCGTCGTTCCAAACAACGTCCACGCATCGAGGAATCGTCCACTGTTCGTCAGATACGGCCCCACCATCACAAGAGTCTGAATACCGAGGAGAGTAGGGGTGTTCATGAAGGATGCGACGCGAAGCGCCTGCATGGCGGCTGCGACTGAAGACACACACACACGATCAAGTCAGCACGGGCGCGCGAAATGGACACTCTGCCGACGCTTACTGTAGACGTCGCTGTTACGTCTCGTCTCTTCAACGGCACCCTCCGCCCAGCCACCGTAGCGATCGTGGATGCCCATTTGCATAGCAGTCGCCAGCATTGCAAAGATCAGGGCCAGCATGTCCGGCGCGCGCTCCGCATAGTTCACGGCGTCGCCCAGAAATCGTTCGACCTCCTTTCGAGTGAGCTCATCCGGCGTGTGAGGGAAGTAGCAAGACTGTGCTCGCTTTTGGAATACGTCGAGACACTGCAGCACATCGTCGTGTGGTGGAAGCAGCGAGCGAGCCATGTCGCCCGCTCCGTTTCCCGACGGCCATAGGATGGAAAATGGATACAATGATGATTGTTCAGGGTGGTAGAGATCCTTTCCTCGAGGGATTGTGTGTGTGAGTGACTGAGTGCCGAACTGCAGGTTGGCGAACTAGACAGGGGTCAGCGAAGAGTTTTTTCAAATATGATCGTCGTATATCGCTCGCTCACATCCGCAACGATGTTGGCGAGGCCAGGCGTGCCAAAGTAGAGATTATCGACTCGATCGCCGGTCTTGAAGCGACGTTGTCGTGAGGCTGCCGCTCGGGAAGTGGTTCGTGAATTCTTTCGTTCCGCCGAATCCCCGTCATCGTCGTCGTCGTCGTCGCCGCCCGACTGAGTGAGGCGGGCTGCTTGCAGCCTCTCCTTCAGTCGTTGATTCTCCGCTCGAAGCTTTCGGATCTCATATGACTGCTGAATGGGGCTGTAGTCATTGCCCTCGCCGACGACAAACTCACACTCCTTGGGGTGCCCTCGAGCACAGCACGCGGAGCATGGCTTTGTCCGATCACACTGTCATCATCATCATTCACTTGATTAGCTTTCCATCTGTAGAAAGTTTCTCGGAAGAGGAGGCTTCGCCTCGCCTCACCTTAACCTTGCGTTCTCGGCACTTTGTACACGAGAGGAGCTGTCTGGATTGCGGCTTCTTCTGACGGTCTCCCGAAGCAGTTCGCTGAAGCTGGTTGGAAGGGCCTCCTGCAGCCGGTGCGGATGGCCCGTAGCCGGCCCAAGATGAGGAACTCATTCTACCCTCATCCGTTGGACAGCGTGGTAGATGGTGAGCATACTGGCTCAGGTGTCAAGGTGGATGCTTGGACGGCGATAAGCGAATGGAGTACAACAGGCTGTCTCAACCGGTGTCGTGGGACGGTGGTGGTGGTGGCCTCTGTTGAAAACATATAACAGTCTGATCAAAGCCATGTAATGTTACGGCAAACCAGATCAAGAAAGTGTGCATAAGGTCGCTAGGGCTTTTCGAGAGCGGTGCTCCACAATGAGGCTTTCATGGGATGTGTCGGGGTGACGACCGAGCTCTTGGGGTTGTCGAAATTGGTGGTGTGGCTACAAAGACGTGCTCATTTAGCCGTGAGGTATTACTGGAGCTCAGCCCCCGGTCAAGGGTCAATCGCCTGTCCTAGTAGTTATTGTCGCCATAGGCATTATTGTGTCGTGACGATGTATGGCGCCGTAAGCGACGCGGAAGGGCAGCCGATTACCTGTCCTGCCTGGTGTGTGGGCACCTTTTAGGCAGCGCAGGCTAGTGCACTAAGCAGCGCCTTCGCAGTTGCACTAGCCAATACATACACAGACACCAAGGGCCCACCGCCCACGTACGACGAGTGTCTGATCGCCTTACCAGATGCAGTTTGAGATGGAGGCGACCGCCCAGTGTTTCTTCCAGGGAGGGAGACGTCAGAAGGGAGATTGGTGGCTCCCGCATGCCGGCGCATGCTGGTGCATCATGCTCGCTCGCTCGCTCGCATGCGCCCTCGACAGAGAAGGCTGGGTGAGATCTTCCCAGCTCGCCGGGACCGATAGATAGTGCTTGTGCATGCGAAAAAGACGTGCCCGGGAGATCTCATTCGCACGTTGGCGGGCCGCAGCGGTGGATAGACACATTCCTGGGGGATCATCCCGATTGCACGCCGAATGCAGCGCGTCGAGCGGCATGCTGGGACGAGGACGGCGAGGGCATTCTGACTGGCCGGCCCTTCGATGTCGATGCTGCCAGCCCTTTCTGGCGCCGAAGCGCACGGAAGAGGGAGCCGTGTCGGGCAGGGCAGGGCAGGGCAGGGCGATGGCCAGGATCATTTCATGTTCATGTCGAGGATGCTGCATTCACCACCCACCCCAGCCGAGCATCAGGTGTCTCATGCGGCTTCGGTGGCATGGCGGATCATCGCGTCGACGCCGAGGACCTCACTGCATCATCATGCGAGGGCCACATGACAAATCGCGGGCGCGCCATGCGAACGGCATGCAGCGCGGCGGCGTGGGCGGTGCGGCGACCGGTCACAGGCAGGTATTGGGCCTTGGCGTCGTTCGCCCGCTCGCAATGGAAGCGTCGATGCTCGCTCGTATCGACGCACGACGGTGGAGTGTCGCGGCCTCGATGGCGTCGATGCCTCGATGGGCAGGCCGCTGCTGGACCAGGCTGGCAGGGCGCAGGGCGTGCCTTAGCCGTTCGTTACACCTGCGCGGCGAGCATCTTCTGGACGCTGTCTGGCCTGCCAATGCGCGCCGCCATATACACAGTGAGGCGTCGTCGTGTTGCACTGGCGGCCGCGCCTCGTCGCCCGCAAGGCTGCATCCCGGCACGACATCTTCACGTTGCATCGATCACACTCTAACCGCCCTGCTGGGTCGCGCGCCCTGCCCTGCACTCGACTCGCCATCCACACGCCATCTCATTTGCCTGGCCTGGTGGCGCATCTCATTCTCTGCACTCGTGCCTTGCAGCTTTTTCGACGCATCATGTCCACCCTCCGCCCTCCGCCCTCGGCCCACGGCCCACCACCCACCACCCATCGAGATCCATCGCTTTCGTTCGTGTATGTGAGATAACGAGAGCCGATGCGGTCTCTGGGCCCCCCCCCCCATGTCGGCAGGGCGCTCTCTCCCCCTGCTATCGCCAATCGCCCTTCGCTTGCCTCGGATAAGTCTAATTCGTAGCGCACGATTTCCCAAAGTGTGTTGTCGCAATTGCTGGAAGGAGTATGGCGCTGGTGACATGCCCTCCCACGGCGCGGACCCTTGGAGCGTGGGAGAGCAAGATCACGTGGGGCGCCCCTGAGCAGGCATTGAAGCATCTCTCGGCCAACAATAACATCTGCTCCCCTCACGCCTCCTGTGGCGCGGCCGAACATCAAAGGAGTGGGCGCAGGATGCACGTTGATGAAAAGACGCACGCCAGGCGTTGATGATGGAGCTGTGAAATGCTCCTCCCAGAACTCATTATTTTAGCCAAGGTGCATATCTGTCCCGACGGCATGCTTATGCTTGTTATTAGCGTCCGCCTCGAACCCAACCGCTGACACGCACATCTCTGGAGCGCTGCAGACATCACCGTGACACGTGAGAAGCTCATCGCACCAGCCATCGTTCTTGCACTTCCAACGCCTCCAAACAGTCAACCACCATCCAGATCGTCCAGAAGTCAAGCCACTGTCAGATACACGAGCGCGAGACGTGCGAGAGGAGAGGAGAGGAGCAGACATGCGAGAGGAGAGGAGAGGAGCAGACATGCGACGCTGTCACGAAAGCTCTTCTCGCTCGCTTGTGTCACCCACCCACCCTCCATGCTGGAGGTGCAGCACACCAGGAGCCTTGTACGTGGAGAGCACGAGGAGTCCCAAGAAACACATCCTGGAACCAGACGGTCGGGTCAGCTCCAAACGTTCTGCTGTGTCGGGAAAAGGGTAAGCGATGTGGCTTTTACAACAGACGTCCCGCAGAAGAGGAGTTGTAAGCTGGTCGCTGACTCGTAGCGATCTGGGAGAACATCTTTTCCATCCGCTGTGATGAGGAAGGCAATGGAAAGCAATGCGGTTGTCATCCAGTAATTTGTTGCGTCCTCCATAGACAAAAGGAAGCGAACGAGAATGAGTAGTGCTCTTACTAGACAGAAAGCATGATTGAAGAGCGACGATGACAGCCTGTCCCATTTCACTTCACTACTTGGTCTGCAAGTGCACCAAGGTGTCCCATCTCAAACCCCGAAATCCCTCGATCATCAGTAGTCATACCCACAGCACAGAAATAGCCCAGACCCAACGGGGAAATTTCCAATTTGCATACAGAGAGCCCAATCGCCCATCTCAAGGACCAACTCCACACAACCATCCATCCATCCCCATCTCTCAGCCTCACCTCATCCCGATCCAAAAAAACCCCCATCCCTCACTCCCTCCGACTCCAACCCCTGCTCATCACGGAACCCCAACCTTCCCCAACGCAAGCAAAGCAAACCAACCCCCCACAACCGGTCTCGCCCTAAACTCCCCACCGCCATAACCCCCCGAAATAACATCAAACCGATCCGTAGCCGGCCCGGCCGTCGTCGTCTCCCTCAAAAACTTCGCCGTGTCACGAATGAACATCTCCCGAGTATCCTTCTCCGCGATGGCCGCACAGAACAGTTCCCAATCGTTTTTCGAGCGCGTGTCGCGCGTGTCGAGGGCGACGCCGTACGCCTTGTTGACGGTGGGGTAGAAGTTGGATTGCATGGTGTAGATGCTTTGAGGGACGAGGTCGGTGCCGAGGAGCGCGTCGGCCCAGAGGTTGTAGAGGAGGGAGTAGGAGTCGGGAGCGCCGTAGTTGAGGACCGTGTGTGGGGGGTTGGCGTTGGCGTTGACTGCGAGGGATTCCCATTGTTGGATCCAGTCGGTGGCTTGGTTGGAGTATTGGGATGCCGCTTCGGCACGACCGGTCATGTTTGCCATCATCCCAGCGGCTTTGAGGCCGATGATGCCTTTGAGGGCGAGGTTGGTTTGGTTGGCGAGTGGGCCGGCGAAGTCGTCTGTGAAGTGTCAGTTCTGGGTTTGAAGGCTAGTGAGGGCATGCTTACCGGTAGATATCTGGTTGAATGGAATGACAGCATCGTTGTCGATCAGCCACTTGGCCCACTTGTCCAGACTGTCCCAATGCTCGTTGAGATACCCTGTGTTGCCAGTCCTTTGAGCGTAGGCTAACGCCATGATGAGCATGTTTCCGCATTCTTCGAGTGGCTGCAGAGCCGCGTGGCCATCGGAGTGGCCAGTTGCATTCGGGTAATGGTCACCGATATCATGAATGGCATAGTCTTGAGGCCACAGGCCAGGAGTCTCCATGTTGATGAACAGCGGGTCCAGAATCATCTTCATCCAGTCGGCGTTCATATACAGCAGGATGGGGTGGAAGGGGAAGACCACGTCAACGGTCTGGAAGTTTCCGTTCGAGCTGATCTCCTTCAAGAACATGAAGTGGCGTTGCTCAGTGCCAGCGATTTGCACTGCTCCCCAAGCTTGGCGAACAGCAAGCGATACAATTGATACGTAGTCATTTCCGCCGACACCTCGAGCATCGTTTGCTACGTCAGCGTCGAGCGCAGCACTGACCCGAGCAGCGTTATGATAGTCAAAGTAGAATGTAGTGATTGCGCTGAGTTCGTCTCCAAATGCTCCCTTCCAGAAGCTCGGCACTTGCTCGAGTGTAGTGGTCTGGAATTGCACCGCGCAATCTTGCATCAGATTGATCGTAAAGAGAGTCTCGATCGAATTTGATGAGACTGATCCCAGATTCTTTGCAAAGCCGAAGACAGGGTAGTTCTGGTTGATGGCTCTGAAGTTCTTGTCATCGCTGTTGGCCAACTGACCATCCTGAATGAATGTACCGCGAACATCGGTGTCGGTGCCAGACTGATATGTCAAGCCTTCGTCATTCTCGGTTGCGTAGTACCAGTAGCCCCAAGCAGCTTGGTCGCTGTTCTCCGAGAATTCCTGCTGGTTCTGCCGCCATACCCTGTGGTATGCGAGGGCACCCGAGCCAGCATCGCTTGCGCCTTGAGCCGTTCCGCGGCTCCACTCTGCAACCTGGTTGCGATCACCTGACGTCCATTCGGCACTAATATCGGTATAGATGGAGACATCGTGAGCGTTGCCATCTGAAGATTGAACATTAACGGACATGTACGATACTGGCATGCTCTGTCGTTGCTTGTCCTGTGGGTCCACTGGTGAAAGAAACGTTATGTTCATGGCGACCTTGCCATCCACATCCATGCTGAAAGTGCTGCGGGTTGATGTGTATTCCATACTCGTCTGCTTGACTATCGTCGGCATACTGTCTGGCTTACCCCTTGATTCAGCAAATCAGCATGACGTTCACGTGGATGATGGCTGATGAACGCTACTCACATCCATGTGTATGTCTGACCGTCCACTCGTATCAAGCCACACCACCCATTGATCTGTCCGGCCCAGAAGGTAGGCCATTGTCCTGCCAGGTATCCTCCATTGCCGCCATCACTGCCTGCTGCCTGCCAGGTGCTGAGGTAGGGTGATCTTACTGCCAACGGTATCGCTGGTGGTCGCTGTGGTATAAAGGTCTGCGCAGATATTACTGTCATTAGGAATGATAGGGCAGCGAGGAGAGAAGCCATGCTGACGAGGAAAATGAATGACTGAGAGGACTTTGGTGTGGAAGACGGATCCTGGCAACTGGCGACGTCTTATGTGAAGACATTTTCCGACGTCGGGTTGCGGGTATGCTGCGAAATGAGGAGGGATGGTGACCACACGGGCGGCAGAATCGACCTTGGCGGCTAGGGACGACATCCATCTACGCAGCAGAGACCATCCAAAACTGGGCATCTGGCGTCATGAGGGTGCTTGGCTGCACGATGCCACTGGGCATGCCTGTCTGGCCAGCGCGTTACATGTAAGATGAAGTCGAAATCCACCCGGTATCAGACACGTATAAGCTCGTTTGGGCTGTTCTCGGGGTCTGGAGGCATCTCAAGCGGTCCCTATGGGTTTCTGGCATCGCCTTCAGCGAGCGCTTGAGGCTCCTGGAGGCAATGCCATCTCCGATCGTTGTGGTGCTGGCATACTGCTTCGCCGGGCATGGTGTCGCCAGTGAAGACCTGCTGATACTCCTGGCAGATCGGAAGACAAATTAGGGTGTGGAGGAAGCTTAGCGAGGTCTTGCGACGCTGTCACGGCTCCCATCGTTCGCCCGTACCTGACGGCCATGACGCGCATGCACCAAATATTGATCACGGTGCTACGCTATCGATATGGTCCGCACCCTGTCGCGTCGGAAAAATGGCCTGCGGTGTGGCCACGCGACTTGGAGCCCATACTCGACTTCTGCATTTCGTGCTCTTGCTGGCCCCGCTGTGCAACGTGAACGTGGACGTGAACGTGAACGGGAGCACAACTGAGGGGTCTCCAGTCTCTCCCGCCATTCGAGCTGGGCGACGCTTTGGTGCGCAACTTGGTCCGAGTTCTCTTGGTTGCATCTGAGCAAACATCGATGCGACGTGCCTACTGGCGGGCGGAGTGATCGTTTCAAACGATGTGCTGTTGCGGAGCTGAAGGAGCTGAGCTGAAATCAAGCACGGGGTCTCGGATTAGGGAGGCCCATACGTACCAGATTGTCAATATAGTACTTCTGACCGCAGCGACAACAACGCTATCTTTGCCCCTTCAAGTTCTTTTTAATATATCTTTTTATATAGAGGAGTTATAGCTTAATAACATAGAGCAAAGATACTCTAAATTGTATCTATTTTTAGAAAATAATAAAATTTATAGTCGTTACCTATTGAATTTATAGGCTATATAGCCTAAAATTCTAATTTAGAAGTTTAACAGTTTTAGCATTTTTTAGGCCTTAGCATACTATTTTTAGTAATCTAAAACATAGATCTTGTACTTTTACCTTATAAAAATCTAAATTTAAATTTATATATTAGTATAGAAACTATTAGTAATACAATCTAGAAAGGAATATTATTTTCTTACTATATTCTCTTTGGTTTATCTTTTTATTTAGAAGAGTTATAGCTTAGTAATATAAGACAAAAATACTCTATTCTTAAACTAGTATTAGGAAACTACTAAAATTACTATAGCTCTCTACTAAGATTAGCCTAAAATTCTAGAATAAAGATTTTAAGATTTTAGTATTTATTAAGCCTTAGTATACTATTTTTAGTAATCTAAAACCTAGACCTAGGAGTTTTACCTAGCATAAATATAGAATGAGATTCTTATCTTAATACGCTTACTATTAGTCTTAGAATCCTAAAGCGAATATTCTTAAGAATTGTAGGCTTAGTAATTTAAAGTTTACAATTCTTAAGAATATTCTTTTCTAAGTTATAAGACTATTTATAGCTCAGTTAAAGTAAAAGCTCTAATATAGATTCCTACTAGGTAAAAATATTAGGTTTGGGGTTTAGATTACTAAAAATAGTATACTAAGGCTTAATAAATACTAAAATCTTAAAATCTTTATTCTAGAATTTTAGGCTAACCTTAGTAGATAGCTATAGTAATTTTAGTAATTTCCTAATACAAGTTTAAGAATAGACTATTTTTGTCTTATATTACTAAGCTATAACTGGTCTAAAGAAAAAGATATACGAAAGGGAATCTAAGAAGAATTTAAGTTTTAAGCTCTAGATTATATAACTAATAGTAGCTATATTACGAGAAAAATCTCAAAATAGATTTCAATTAAGTAAAACTATAAGACCTACGTTTTAGATTACTAAAAATAGTATATTAAGACTCAAAGAAACGCTAAAATTCTAAAATCTCTAACTTAGAGTTTTAAGCTATATAGCTTATTAATTTAGGAGGCAACAACTAGAAATTTTGATATTTTCTAAAAATATACATAAATGAGAGTATCTTTGTCTTACATTATTAAGCTGTAACTCCTCTAGAAAAAAAGATATATTAAAAAGAACTTGTAGGGGCAAAGATTGCGTTGTGAATTCTTCATTGACAATCTGGTATATATGGAGCTCCGTCTCGGATGAGGGCAACCGAAATTCAGGCAACAAGGCCGTCAGTTGACTTTCTCCATCGCCCGCCTCTCTTGTCCTCCAACATCTTTCGCATCAGACCTCGCCTCTGCCATTCACCGCTTGAGCAGCAGCACTCCGTGAATCTCCGGACTCGAATAGACCGTTTGCCTGACATGTCCGATATAACGCAGCTGTCAGAGGATGACCGAACTTTCGTAGACTCGTACTTGCCACGGGATGCCTGTAACGCCTCTGCAACTGAAACCGCATCCTCTGGCCGCCAGCACTCGCATTGTGTCCGAGCATCTGCACCTGAGAAGCGTGACTTGCCCTTCGTGACATTGACCTATGCATCTTCCCTGGACAGCATGATCGCGCTGGCACCTGGAGCCAGGACTACGCTCTCAGGTCCGGAGACCAAGAGTATGACACATTACCTGCGCCTGCGACATGATGCTATCTTGATCGGTGCAGGAACAGCGGCCACCGACGACCCAGGCCTCAATTGCCGTTATCCCCAGGCGGTCTTGAGCGACCAGCCGCGTCCGGTCATTGTCGATCCAAATGGAAGGTGGAAAGATGAGAGCAAGAAGGCATTTCGACTTGCTTCGGAAAGGCAGGGCAAGGCACCTTGGATTATTACCCGAACTTCCGATACCTCACCGCTGGACCCGCTCCTTCAGATCGGCGGAGAATATCTCACACTCGATGACGATCATCCCAGTTCGTCCGACTCGGCAATCTCATGGGTTTCTATTCTGAGAACACTCAAACAAAGGGGAATCAACAGTGTGATGGTCGAAGGCGGCGCGACGGTGATCAACACATTGCTCAGTCTCCCTGATCTGGTCGACTCCATCATCATCACCATCGCGCCCACCTTTCTGGGTCAAGGTGGAGTTGCTGTCAGCCCTGCGGCCAAGACTGATAATGGCCAACGCATCAACTCGGCATGGCTCGAGAGGACTTCATGGCGGCAGTTCGGCAACGACGCTGTGCTTTGTGGCAGGCTTCGAAGCTGATGAGGTGTGCAGGATTCAGTGAGGTATGCCTTGTCCAAGCCATGAACCATGCACCCTACGGAGCCTGCAGAAGATCCCCACGATGGCAGCGGGACAATTCCCCGAAGCCGCTAATCATCACGCTACATTACCCATTGCCTTCACTCACGATTCGGAAGGTGTGGCTGAGGAAGACTCACGCAGCGCACAGGTAGGTGGTTTCGTTCTGCAATGGCATATTCAATCATTGCAAGTCAAAAAGGCAACATTTGTCAAGGACAACACAAGCCACAAGCACCACTCCACAACGAGTTTTCACTGAAGTGTTCCATCTCGACGCTGCTCAAACTCGACAGCAGTCTCAAGTTTTCCCTTTCCGAATCCTCTCTGCTGCTCGACAGATTACATCATACTCATCGGTGACGGAAAGCGGCATTGGTATGGTAGGAAAATGGATGGATTCTTCATCACTAGGTCGAGCTGGATACGAGCTCTCGGCCGCATAGCATGAATAGTGTCACAGTCGAAAAGACGCTAGCACGTCACTACACATGGCATGTGACGCAGGGCATTATCAGAAATTCATCTCTTCACTCTCGAGATGTGAGGAGACACGGAATGGTGAGTAACAGAATCGTCCTACTTGGTAAGTGAGGTGCTACTGCTGTCCAGGACGCACACATACAGTACAAAACAGGCACTGTACGTCATATATGTGAAGTCCGTGCGTCATCGACGCCTTGCGTTTCAGGTTCCACCGGCTGGGATATGATGGTGCTATATGGCGATCCAGCTTGTGCAGTAGCAAATGCGATGCGATGTTGTCCGGTCTCTCAGGCATGCAGTGAAGCTGCCGCTGCTTGTGAAGAAATTTGTAGCCTAGGGATGGGCGGACGCGGACGGAAACGCATGTCGTTCGCCTCCGCGATCCGCAGCAGGCCGTGAACATCGGATGTCATGTAAAGAGATGGTCGAATGCCGCAGTGAGAGTGGTTGCCCAGCTGTCATCGCACGGCGCATGTGAATAGTACAGTACCTTGCCGCAAGAGTCGTTAATCCAGCATCGGCAGAGCAGAAAGCAAAGCAGTGAGCAACAGAAGCAACTTCAAGCAAAAAATAATCCTAACGCGAGGCTCCGACAGGCACGCCCCTGTGGAGTCAAATTGTACGCCCACACTCACAGCCGCATACAGTCTCATAACAGCACCGATCGGCGGTCAGCCCTTCATCATGTTTGGCAGTGGAAAGAAGAGGATTGAGGTCAGTCTGTCTGCATGCCTGAGGAATGCGCCGTACATCATGTTCCAGAGATGCTACCATAGCACCTTCGGCTTCGATTTTCGCTGATAAATGCGATGCGATGCGCTCTTGGTGGCCTGGCGTGGCATGGCATGGCATTCTTTGTGGCGTTCATCATCACTGCCAACGAGGAAGTGGCCTTTCCTTTGTGTGCCCGCCCTGCCTGCCAGAAAGCCAGCAATAATGACATCAGCAGCCGCTCCCGCATCATCGCGCGCATCCACCTGCACCTGCACCTGCACCTGCAACTGCCTTTCGTCATCGCCAACTTCACTTCACTGTTCTACCCTCCTGCTCCCTCCCCATACTGCCGTCGCTGAGCAGCACTCCGCGCTCGCATCCCGCTGCACGGTACATTCGCTTGATTGCCACTGAACACCATGTCGACCATACAGAACCTCAAAAATTTTATCCGCCACGGAAAGCAAGCTCGCGATGCGCGATCACCTCAAGACCAGGCCACCACACACCTCTCGAACGTCCACGCACAGCAACATCGCGGCCACGGCCACACCCACGACGTCCAAGCACATCACGCCAACTATCCTATCAGCGACCCCAATGTCTACGAGCACAAGCCCTTGCAAGCTGCCGCACCACATGGAGACTACTCTGCTGCCGCCGTAGATAACAGAAATGTTGCCGCCAAGGCCGGCCATGCCGCAGGTGCCGCAGTCGATGCGAAACAGAAACGAGACGCAAAAGGCCAAGATTACGACCCACAAGTGCTCCAACGCATTGTCGCCGAGGAGCGAGAGAGCAAAGGAAAGCTTCCCACCTATCCCGGCCTGGAGCGATATCAGCTGCTCGAGAAGATGGGTGACGGCGCCTTCAGCAACGTATACCGCGCCAGAGATACACACGGCCAGCACGATCAGGTCGCCATCAAGGTCGTCCGAAAGTTCGAGATGAACTCCACACAGGTATGCTCCGCGTATTCGGCCTTTTGTTTCCTGATTCTCGCCGCCGCTCTTCGTCATGATGTGATTGAAATTCTCTTGACCAACACTCCTGCCTGCTTAGGCCGTCCTCCATCCGGAATACGAAAAGAAAGTACCTAAAGGCGTCGAGGTGCGCACAGTTTCCTTCTTGTCTTATCGCTCTGCTCCGTTCTGCTCTGCTCTTCCATCTCCTCAGATCTCAACTTCATGGCGAAGCCTGGAGCGAGCGCTGACGTCATCTACTTGATAGCGAGCAAACATCCTCAAAGAAGTACAGATTATGCGACAGCTCGACCATCCCAATATCATCAAGCTCATCGACTTCTCCGAGTCGCGTCAATACTATTTCATCATTCTCGAGCTCTGTCCTGGAGGCGAGCTTTTCCACCAAATCGTCCGATTGACATATTTCAGCGAAGACCTCTCACGACACGTCATTACTCAAGTAAGTGCATGCGGCAACAATATCTTCAGAGTGGCTTGTCGTGTTCTGCTCGACCTCGACCTCGACCTCGAACATACTGACCTTCTCCCTCTAGGTCGCAAAAGCATTAGAATATTTGCACGAGGAGGCTGGTGTGGTGCATCGGTAAGTGATCCTGCTTCGCCTACTGTGGCGACAACTGACTCACGCGCACAGTGACATCAAACCTGAAAACCTCCTGTTCTACCCCATTCCATTCATCCCAACCAAAAACCCAAAGCCGAAGGGTCCTGAAGATGAAGACAAGGCGGATGAGGGTGAATTTATCGCGGGCACTGGATCCGGAGGTAAGTCAGAAATTTTCGTGTTGCGCAACACGCTTACTGACAACGTTCAGGCATCGGTGTGATCAAGATTGCCGACTTTGGCCTATCAAAGGTCATCTGGGACAGTCAGACGATGACGCCTTGCGGTACGGTCGGCTACACTGCGCCTGAAATCGTCAAAGACGAGCGCTACTCGAAGAGCGTCGACATGTGGGCCTTGGGCTGTGTCCTGTACACACTCCTCTGCGGTTTCCCGCCTTTCTACGACGAGAGCATCCAGGTGCTGACGGAGAAGGTGGCCCGAGGTCAATACACATTCTTGTCGCCATGGTGGGATGACATCTCGAAGCCGGCGCAAGACTTGGTCTCGCACCTGCTTACTGTCGATCCCGAGAAACGCTACGACATCACCCAATTCTTGAACCACCCATGGATCCGCAATGCCAACGAGCCAACACATGCTGCCGCTGACGCTCCACCGCTTGCTACTCCTCTCCACGTACGACAAGGACAAGGACAGCTGTCCGCTGGCTCCGCTGACAAGGCTGGTGCTTCTCCGCTCAAGCCAGACTTTGCATATCTCGACGACACACCAGGTGCCGGTCGTCGCATGGACTTCCGATCCCCCGGTGCTGTCAATCTTCGAGAGGTGTTCGATGTCAGTTACGCTGTGCACAGACAGGAAGAAGAGGGCAAGCGGAGGAAGAACTTCAAGCAAGGCTTCAGAGGCGGCAATGCACTCAACGCACTCGACGAAGAGTTTGACGATGACGAAGAAGACGGCGTTTCGCACCCATTCGACCCCAACTCGCAATCATTACCCGCCAAAGTGCCAAAGTCTGGAGCGCCTGATGTGGGTGGCGTGGAGAAGCAAATGAGGAATACAAGCTTATCTGCTGCGGCGCAGGCACGTCAGGCCAATGCGCCGCGCAGTTCGCAAGCCAAGGGATATGGCCAACACTCGCCTGAGGTCGCTGCTGCTGCCAAACGACAGGTCCGCAACAAGGCGGGCGCCTTCGAGCTGAGTCTGGACAACGCAACTCTTCTTGGCCGCCGAAAGAAGCCGGAGCCGAGTGGTCTGAGGCAGGAACAGGCTGTCCAATAAGAAGGCCTTTAATATGTTTTAGCTGCATTTCAGGGTGTACAGGCCACGAGGAACAGACTCGAAGGCCGGATCAGCATTGGCGCTGGGTGAGAGAAGAGTCAAATAAAGAAAGCATTTTCCATTTCTCAAGCACGATCTGAATGACACCCATCACGTTTCACGTTTCTTGCGAGTCCCGAAAGAGCTGGCATTGCTGCACGCATCTCGCGCGCGCGATGGTCGGGCACTCCTATGACGACTGTGACATGCGCGGTAAGAATCATTAAATAACATTGCTGTCGAAGGCAGAGATTAGACTGACAGGCTGGTTGTCGTTTCCAGACGCACTTCTTGATTGGGCCATGGCCAGAGACAGCACGCATTCTGACAAGAGAGCAGAAAGCTTTTGTAATGATTGATGAGCATGCGCGTCGAGAAGGACTCGAGACTGACAGCATTATAATAGGCTCGTCTACTTGCACTCTGCCATCGAAGCTTGACGATAGACTGCGCGGATTCTGCTAGGTGCCCAAACGAGCAGAGGCCTGATTATCACTCGCACGGCCAGGTGGATCTTGCGAGCAGGTTTTCATTGTCTAGCGAATATTCGAATAAGATGGAGGGGGGAACAAGAACAAGGCTTGGCTGCAGGAAAGAACAGTTCAGTGAGATGCTTGAGGCTTTGGGGGAGATGAGGAGGATGCGAGCCATTCTATGGAAATGCCAAATTCGAAGCTATACACCTGGGACTAGACATTGGGCTGCCGAGGAGAAGGCAGCTGAAATTCTTTGCGCAGGAGGAGGAAAAAAGCTTCTTATACATTCTTGAAAATCCACTCACGCAAAATTCATGCCAGCCTACTCCAACTTCCACTCCCTCAACATCCAATCCCCGTTCAAAGTAATCAACACCTTCCTCTCCTCATCATAAACACATTCATTACTATACAACTCCAACTCCTTCCCCATAGGTCTCTGAAACCTCCACTTCAAACCCCTCTCCCGATCCCAAACAAAAAAACTATTCTCCCCATCCGCAGCCGCAAGAAACCATCCCTTCCCATCAAGCCACCTGACCCCATTAAAACTCACAAAAGTGCTATGCATCGCCTCCTCAACCCCCAACTTCAAAACCTCATCCACCCGATCCCAACTCGCAGATTTCTTCTGATCATCAAACGGCCTCCAAAGCAAAACCCCCATCCCATTCCCCAAAGCAATCGCATCTCCCCCCGGTGCCCAAGACAAATATCTGATCCACGCCTCCGTCTTCAAACCCTCGCGTTTTAATTTCAGAATTTGGGATTCGGCTTCGATGGAGTAAATCGAAACGCAATCCGTGCCGGCGAAGAGGATGTGTTTCCCATCGGGAGAGAAATCTCCGCTCCAATCTTGAACGTCGCCGGAAGAGATTTTGGAAATTTCCCGGCCGTCTGATGCGCTCCAGAGACGGAATGTGCCGTCCCAGCTCGCGGAGGCGAGGAGGGAGGAGTTTGTTGGGGAGAAGGATGACCACATGATTGCGTCGGTGTGGCCGTAGAGGTAGGTTGCGCTGTGGATGTTGGAGAAGTGGCGGACGATGATGGTGGGGAGTAAGGCGGGTTTTCGGGGGCCGGATTGTGTGGATTCGTTGTTTAGGACTTGGAGCCATCTTTCGCCGTCGGCGCTCAAGGGTTTGGAGCCGAAGGATGGGAAGTGGCCTTTCCAGTGTGTGAGTGAGTGGAGGCGGTTTTTCATGTCTGACTTTATCAATGTGTCGACGAAGCCTTTCCGGATTTCTGCTAGGGCGTCTGTGTCGAGCTCGTGGTGGGAGGTCAGGTCTTTTGAGATTGATTGCCGACATAGATTTGTCCGCTAGGGCTTCGATTGCGAAAGGCATGGTGCGGGTCAGAGATTTGCCGTCGCTGTCGAGATACCATGCGATGATGTCGCCTTTCTCCCTGAAGATTTTGGAGTCTGAGAGAATCATGTACTTGGTACCGTCTGGAGTATCTGCTTTGACAATATCTTCGACGAAGAACATGTCGTTGACATTGCTCTGGTGGCCAACAAGCTCTGCTCTGATCTCTTTCTTCTCGGCGGTGTATATGCGGATAACAGAGTTGCTGGCAACGGCAAGATACTTGTTGTCGGGGCTCAGAGCCATGGCTGTGCTAGACACTTGACGGTCTGCGGAAGCGTCCGTTTTGACGATTTCCATCGAGCTGTGCTCTTGGCCCCATTCCAGAGGTCCTCCCGAAGACGAGGGTGCCCATTCTGCTGTCTCACCATCAAGCTCGAATTCCTTCTCAACTTTCAAGACGTACTCCTTCAAGAACTTCGCGCGGCTCATGGAAGGCATGATTGTAGAATTGCTGATGAGATAGAAAATTGGACTTGGAAAAGTTGGACGACTTGGATTTGTAGGCATCCAGGTGATCTCTCATTGCTGCCTGGATGCTTTCGAAGGATCACAAAGTTACTTCACATCCCACCCTGCGATGCTGCACCAAGATACGGACTGAGCGGGACCTGTGATCGGAGGAAGGGCTGCGAGGATGCAGATCTTGGCCGCGGGACTGCGTGTCTCCCCTTATGTGACTTGCCATAGTGTGGCATGGCCATCTTCGATCTCATTGTGTGCATCTAGCATATCGTGATAAAGCTCGTCGTTTCGAGAAGACCGGCCGCGGCAGTGCGCAGTCAAGTCATCCATATGAGCAAGCCGGTGTCAGTCATAAGTAAGATGATGGTGGCAAAGAAACGAGCATTGATGAAGACATTGAATATGGTTGTGACATCTTCTTGTACTGTAGTGTTGTTGCGGTCGGGAATACTGTAAGCAAGCTCGGTTCATCTCCGGCAATCCGATCTCGCCTCGATCTCGGGAAGCTCTTCGTGACTTCATCAACCTCTTTTGCGCGAGCCATTGAAGCATGCTCAACACCACCAAAAGCCCAACCCCGAACGTCCTCTTTCCTCTTTGCATTGTACTCCCACCTGTACCACCACGATCATGGCGTCGACCCGCATGGTTCTGCGCGCCAGCAGACTGGCAGCCCGCAACAGCGTCCGACCATTCTCCACAACACATTCAAGACTCGGACCAGTACCACTCAGCGAACGCGGCAATGACACCGCCGACGAGTACCGACGATACATGAAAGAGAAGCCATTGAACCCCCACATGACCAACACCACCTCAACAATCGCCAACGAGATGCCGAGCATTGGCAAAGATAGCCCACCGCCAGAGTTAATCTCCAGCGTGGATCCAAAGTTCACTCCCAAGGACTCAGTTCCCAAGGAGACAAGAAAGATGACAGGCGGCAAACAGTCCGGCACTCCAAAATCCGGCCCCAATGCAGATCTCCAAGTAGGTGAAATCGAAGGCATAGAATTCAAAGTCGCTCCCCTCCGCCGCACCGGCGAAGACGCAAATACCATGCGTGCCCGTCTCCTATGTAAGCACACTTTCAAGAAATGGTCACCTTGCTGACGCTGATTCTTTTCGTAACAGACCAAAGCCGGAAAAGAGGGACATTAGAATCGGACCTCCTCCTCTCCACCTTTGCCGACGAACATCTCGCCCACATGACGCCCAAACAATTACAACAATATGATATCTTCCTTGATGAGAATGATTGGGATATTTATTACTGGGCGACGCAAGAGCCGACACCGACTTCGATGGCTTATGCGGAAGGCGCAGGTCCTGGGGCGGCAACTCCTGATGTGCAGGGTAAGGAGGGACCTGTTAAGCCTTCTACTGGCGAGTGGGCGCAGACTGTCGGCACTTTTAAGCCTGCGTACAGACCTGTGCCGCAGAGGTGGAAGAATAGTGAGATTCTTTCTATGTTACGGAAACATGTTGTCAATCGGAGTGCTGGGGCACCGGTTCTCGAGCAGAAGGGGAGTGTTGTTCGTGATAAGAAGGGAGGGGGTTTGGGATTCATGCCTGAGCTGAAGAACTTCGATCAGTAGTCATCCATCTGGTGGGGATAAGTTGTCAAATATACATGTACATAGGAAAACGCAACCAGGTTCGACCCTTTGATCTGAGAATTTCTTCCTATTCACTGATATATAAATCTGCGCTCTATCTACCGAAGTCTAACTTTTCCTTTCAGAAAACTCGCCGACATGCATACCATGTTACGAATCTTCCGAAACAGGGAACTCGATATTAGGTAGCACTACTCCAAGTCTCCAACTAGATATCTTCCTCCCTCCAACCCGTTTTTTTCCAAAAATTCTCCATTACTCAAAGAAACACACAACTCCGCCATCACCTGCCCAGGCCAGGAAACCCACAAGAGCTGACTCTGACTCTAACTCTGACTCAACGGCACGCCGATACAGTTATCAGAGAGCTAATTCTGACGACTGTAGCACTGGAACTTAATCAACCCCCCCTCCCCTCCCCCCCTCCCTTCTAGAAATCAAACCACAGAAAAACAGGGCAGCCGACTATATAGATATATACAGTATATTTGAGTCAAAGTACCCAAGGTAGAAAAGTAAGGAATTCCGAATCCGTGACAAGTAGTAGAAATAATTCTTTTTCTTGAACCTTTCTCTTAATTAAATATATGTGAAAAGTTCTTCAATCATTTAATGAAATCACAGGTTTGAACTTTTTCGGTGACTGACGAATGGTGGCTAGTTATGGTGTTTAAATAGGTGAAGGAGATATGTTCATTACGAGTGTACTCGATGGACTGTACGCAGTAGGTATATGATCGCAAAATCCTCGCGAGTCTCGCTGAAGCGCCTTGTCAAGAAAGAAATGTTCCAGATCTCTCTCTACCCATCCATGAAAAACACATTACCTTAAGATCGCCTTTCATGCTCCAGCACCTTTCCAGTATCCCGGAGTCCGATCGTTCTGTTGTGCCGATTTTGTGTGCTTCCGCCAATTCTCAGGTCGTACCTATCTTACAATGGTGTTGCATGTATGCACCATGGGGGGTATAAAGCCTCTCTCTCTCTCATCGTCTCGCGCCCGCAAGTTCCAATTTTCGAATTATCTGATTACAGCTCTCCACTCTCACGCTCACTTCTTCTGGGCACAGCTGCAGCCTCTCGCCTGCGCGCTGCTCCCAAAACTCCTTCCTCTTCTTGACAAGTTCCAGCGGTGTGCCCTCTGCTCCGCCGATGTCCGAATTCGCGCCGGCGTTGAGGAGAACCTCGACGACCTCCAAGCTGCCCGGGTGACCGGCTTGACTCGCAGCTATGGCAAGTGGTGATCCAAATCTACCGTCTTTGTCTCTTTGATTCACCAGCGCTCCTTTGTGTATGAGCATCTTCACGACTTCGTCGTTGCATAGCCAAGCGGCCGAAAGGATGGGAAAGCCACAGAGTCCGCCCTCGCCAGACACGCTAGCGCCATGCGAAAGCAGAGCTTTGATTTTGTTGTTGCCCTTCTGGAAGACGGCGGAATTCATGCGGCAGACATCGCACGAACCTTGCATGTCTTCGGTAAGTCGGTGTGCAACGACTAAGCTTTGGATCTCTGAATGATTCCAAAGTGCCGCGGCAGTCAATGTGCCGTCCGCATGTCCGAGGAAGGACGGATCCGCTTCTCCAGAATTCAATAGTTCCTCAGCTCTCCTGAGATCGCCTCTGTGGACAGCGCGATAAAGCGTCTTGTCATAGATTGCTGCGGGCGGAGGAAGAGGCTTGGTTGGGTGGTACTTGCCTCCTCCCCACATATGCTTGACGTTTGCTCCAACATTCTTGAGAGACATCATCTTCAGGCGCTTCTGGAGGCCATTGATGTCCATATTGCCATTGGTCTCGTCGCATGGAGCCGAAGCGTACGTGTTGACGCTGATGGCAAAGCTCGAAAGGGAATGAGATGAGTTGCGTTTGCTGTTACGGAAGAGCGCATCTACGGACCAGCGATTCTTCCGGTGGCGGTCTCGAGCAGCCATAAGTTCGTTGACATCAACGATATAGGCCTGAAGCTGAGCTTGCTCCCAGTTTCTCAGCTGGTGCCACAGACGGAAGCAGTCTGGGTCAGAGAGCCTGCTTTCATGGCCTTCCTTGGATGGAGGATGATGCCCTGTGCAAGGAGTTTCGTGCTCGAAGTTGAAGCCGCAATGGCCTCGGGCTGCCGAGTCGAGGTGTTTCTGCAGATCTTCTTCGTGATCGAAGCCCACCTGGCATTTCTTGCACTTGTGTTTTCCCTTGAATGTTTCCAGATGCAACTGCAAATGATCCAGCAAGGTCTCGTCGTCTTCGAATGGGTTTCCACATATAACACACATCTTCGGTTCCGACGACAACCATGACTCCACATCTCGGGGTTCAGTGGGTATTGCGCTCTTGACCACAGTCTCGCGTAGCTTCTGGGGTTTGGGTTTGGGGTTCAGCACTCGCTCGATTACATCGTTCGCCACATTCGAATCGCGAGGGGACTCGGTGGATAATGTGGGGCGGCTTGATGTTTGACGACTGCGGCTTGAGGAAGACGGCCGGCTAGAGACGGATTCAGGTGGAGAGATGCTGACAGTGGGAGGGGGAGGTGGCTTCTCCGCTCGGAGGCTTGCACTTGAGTGCCTCCTTGGATGTTTGTTTGTCTTCTTGGTGGGTGGCTCCATGGGGACTTGGTAGGTGTACTCCTCTTCTGCAGGCTCACCAGGCCATGGCGTGATTGTAGTCTGTGGAGGTGAGGCTTCCAACTTGATAGGAGTATGCGACCAGTCCATGCTACCACTCCGACTACTCTTGCTCTCGCCAGGCTTTCGAATGTCTGCCAGTGACCTGGTACTTCGAAGGTGAGATGGCGGAGGAAGCTCATCGGGAATCGTCATGGCGGTCATGGTTGATGCCATGGAGTATCCGGACATGGACTTCCCGCTCTCGTCAGACGACAGCGACCTATGTTCGCTGGCGTCGGATGCAGCGGAAGACAAGTCGATGGGATTGGCGCCAGTAGCCTCACCATGCTGCTCTCTGCGATGTCTCTGCAAGTCGTGGTTGCGGCCAAACGACCTGCCACACTTGAGGCATAGATGTCTCTTATCTGGCTGCAAGCCGAGCCGTCGTCTGTGCATGTCGGTGTGACGGTGACGAGCTAGAGCTCTCTTCTCGGTGTAGGTAGTGCCACACGCATCGCACTCATATCGATAGTTGATGCGAGCGCGCTTATTGGGAGGGAGATTGGTGTCGGGCGACGGGGCGTCGTTGCTGCTGTGGCTGTCTTCTGAATGGGTGTATTCGGTCTTGACGTCGACGAGGTGCGCGTTCTCCTCCGCAATCGGGACGAGGGCCGCGTTGTTGTTGCTGCTGTAGGACCAGTGAGGATGGGGGTGTTGTGGGTGAAAATGTGGTGCTGGTATGGTCTGCAAGTCCATGCTTGATGGTCTGTGTCCAAACGAATGTGAGGAGGACGGGCTAGGGTAGCATCGACGATGGCATGCGCCGTATGCAGGATCAAGATGTCCAGATGATATCGGACATGTACATTGGGCTATTGTTTGTGTTGGCACGAGCCGAAAGGTAGCGCAGCGTCAAACAAGCCAGCAAAGACTAATGATTGACGTGCAGCAGTGCGATTGACGCTCCGGGCGCTGCTACATGGACGTGGACGTGGATGTGGAGACCGTGAGCGTGACCGTGACCGTGGACATGAAGCAGTGCAGTGTGGATATTCTGTGCTGACCACGATCGGGTGGAGGTTCGAAGGTGGGCGAAGTGGTGCAGTCGGCGGACCCTTCATCTCATCAGCATATGCAAGCCATCCACCATCCACCATCCACGTGCATCAGCACCCGCTTGCCACCAACCAACCTCGAAGTGGCGAGCGCCGTCTTCCCACGCCATCCGCTTCGGGCAGCAGCCAAGGCCGATCCAGGGACTCTGCGAAAAGCGGATGCTCTGCCGGACCAGAATGCCTGAGGCGTTTCATGTCTGCGAGCCCTGCAGCACCCATCATGACAGATCGCCGGGAGACGAGCCCAGAACAGCAAACGCCTTCAGAGATTCGGCCTTCTGCGGCTCCATTGCACACCACTTTGGCATCCTCGCCGATGCATGAGTCTCGACTGTCTGCTTCAAGCATGGAGCTGCACGAACTCTCGCCGATGCCTGTCTTCTGAAACATGAAGCCTCCCGTCTCGTCAGGTGTCTGTATACTGGCACCTCGCTAAATCTCGCTTAACTCGCTTCGTAGAGGACCCGTAATTAATGACGTTTGTGTGGGCCCGCCAAGACCCACGATTTTGTATGTGTTCGGGGCATAATTTTGGGAATTATCGAAACAACTGATACCTTATCGCCTCTACTATTATCGCGCTAATAGAAGAACCGGCGCCTAGAAGCCACAATAGCTTTAAGGCTATTCGAGAGAGGCTGTTTCTTGCTAAGAAGGACGTTGCTATGCCGTACGACGATTTCCTTATCGCTATAAAGCTAATGTCTAATATATACAGTCGCAATAAGGTCACTAAGGTAAAGCCTAATCGTACTAGCGGTAGATACCTATCGAAGGCATATTATCGTTGTATTAAGTCGAAACGGACAGCGGCGGCGGACAAGAAGAAGGGCGTAGAAGGCGGTAGTAGTTATTATAAACCCGAGTTTGCTACTAACGACTATTGCAAGGTTAGCTTAGTCGTTAATATATATTAGGACAGTAAGCAAGGCTCTCCTATTAATGTCGTTGTTAAGCGGACCGATTATCGTTATTAGTACACCTATACGCTCTAGCAATGCGACGTACGGCGGTCGAATGCCTATTTTAAGGAAACAGGCTAGAAGTTATTAGATTAATTACTACGGACTAGTCGAGTAAGAGTGGAACCGCCGCTTCAATCTATACTATAATCTATAGATAGGCGCGTAAGAGCACTACGACAGACGGCTACTATAGGCGCCAACTAATAAGGTATTAGAAGAGCAGGTAGAGCGAGTGCGACAATAGCGACAGTAAGGTAGATAGACAGCAACAGCGACAGCAAGGCAGATAGACAGACAAGCAAGAGCGCGTTAACAACACCTATATTTTGCTATACTATTAATGCCTTACCAACACTTTGGCTTCATTTTGAACTGGTGCCGGCGGCGGCGATAGCAGGTGCCAGCGGTGCCAGCGGTGCCAGCGGTGCTACGCTATTCCCAAAGAAGAGCTGGAAATAGGTGCGTTTCGTCATAATTGTTGGGAACCGCGTACTTCCGAAGGCACGTGCGGCCTTGGCGGTGCCAGAATACAGACACCCGTCTCGTCCCTTGAGCATTTGCCAGCCACCTGCCTCATCGAGGAATCCCGGTGCACTTCAGCATTTACCTCCTACGCCCTCTGCGAGAGCTGATGATGGATGGAAGGAGGGCGAGAAGCTCACGCCTCCCGTGTGCCTCGCTCCTCGCTCCTGTACGCGACGGGAGCTTTCCAAAGTTCACAATGCTTCTCCATGCATGAAGAATCGCCTCCTTTGACTTCACCACCTGAACATCGAACTCACCTGATTCGAGTTGATGAGGAAGAGCCGCAATCTGTGACAGGCCCTGGAAGGCTGTCTATTATTTGAGTTGCAAAGGAGTCGGCCTACTGCTGTAATGATTAATCTTTGTAGTTGTCAGGCAGCAATGCATCCGAGTCATGCGGCCGCCATTTCGGCACGCAAGAGACGACTACTGTAGGAGATGGTCGGGCACAAAGACATTAGCTGTTCGGGGCCGTAGTCGATTCACATTTTGCGCATAAGACCTTCGTATCTTTCTTCCGATAGGAGGCGGAGGAGCAAAAGGAGCAGGAGTTTGCAGGCTCGTAGCAGTTCGCAGCAGTTGCAGCTCTCCTAGCAAGGCAATCCAGGAGTTCATCATCAAAAGGCGCGCTTCGACAGGCAGCCAGCCAGCCATCAGATAAAAATTCACAGGCCCAGTTGCCTCCTCTCCCGACAGTGGCCACATCAGCTGAGCCATAGAATCGCAGAATAACAATTGGATCTGCAGACTCCTGATATGCGCGCTGAAGCACGCTTTTCGCTGCCTGCTCCTCGCCGGTGGCATGCACATTCTGCTCAGGCATGCAGCCTCGTGAGAGCCTCAGCTGGCACTCTGGCACTTACGCTGAAGAAGCAATGCAATGCGACACACCGTCACGCGACACACAGCGCGCTTGGCTCTGGTCAAGAAGGGAGGGGAGGCATGACTTTTTGCTTGTTGGAAAATTGAATGTCAATAAGTAATCATGGTATATACTGCACGCCAAACAATCCAGGAATTGCCTTTCCGTAGGTTCTATCGGTTGTGGGGAGTAGAACTGATACAGTGTTTCTCTTGGCAATAATGACGTGAGGGTCTTTCTTCACTACATCTACTTTCACCCCTCGCCTCGTGCAGCTTTCTGACAGCTCAAGCGGCAGTAATAAACTTGGTATGCCTGCACCTGCCATGCTGTCCGCCTGAACAAACTTCGACAAACCAAAACAACCCAAACCACCACCACCTGGCCTACTCTCCGTCCGTCCCTCCACCTCCTACGACTACCCTTTCTCTTCCGCCTGCACAGCGTTATTGTCGCGCCGCCACGATGGTGCTGGGTCATAGGAAGAACTCGCTCACATCGGGCAGCCGGTCCAGCATGGAAGGCCACAGTGACGCGGAAGATGGTGATGAGACGGTCGTCAGCTCCGAGCAGGGCAGTGTCCTGAGCCATATCATATCACAGTTACGCCCAGGCGCCGACCTCAGCCGCGTAACATTGCCAACTTTTATTCTCGAACCGCGCAGCATGCTGGAACGGATAACAAACTTCATGGCACATCCTGAGACTCTTCTCACACCTCCCACCATTGACGACCCTGTCCAGCGATTCGTGGCAGTCACCACATTTTACATGAGCGGATGGCACATCAAACCACCAGGCGTCAAGAAACCTTTGAACCCCATCTTAGGGGAGATATTCACCGGCTATTGGGACTACTCGGATGGCACCAGGGGATACTACATCTCTGAGCAGACCAGCCATCACCCTCCTAAAAGCAGCTATTTCTTCATGGCGCCAGAGCACCACATCCGGATCGACGGCACATTGAAACCACGAAGCAAATTCCTGGGCAACAGTGTAGCCAGTTTCATGGAAGGCATTGCCGTTCTCAGACTTCTCAATAGGAATGAAAGATAGTACGTGCTCGCAGCATGCGTGGGCAGAACGCATGAAATCTTATGCTGACGGTGACCAGTTTCGTGACGCAGCCAAACATATACGCACGCGGCATTCTCTTCGGAAAGATGAAATATGAGCTTGGCGATCATGCGGTCGTTCGATGCCCGGAGACGGGTCTAGAGGCAGACATTGAGTTCAAGGTGAAAGGCTGGGTTGGCGGTACTTACAATGCGATTGCCGGCTACATCAAAGACAGCGAGACCGGAAAGAATCTCTACGAGCTGAGCGGACTTTGGAACGCGCAAATGTACATCAAGGACCTTTCGACCGGCCAAAAGGAGTTGCTCTTCGACGCGTCGCATGCAAAGCCGAGCATTCCGAAGAGCAGGCCATTGGAAGAGCAAGCCCCTAGAGAAAGTCAGAAGTTATGGCACAGCACGACCGCAGCAATTAAGAAAGCTGATCAGAGGACTGCGACTGATGAGAAGTCGCGGATAGAGGATCAGCAAAGGAAAGAGGCGGCTGAAAGGGGAGACCAGGAGTGGAAGCCAAGGCTGTTTAGAGCTGCGCCTCCGGGAGATGAACAAAATCTGGATTGGGTCATTGATGCGGAAGTGGACCACACTGCACCAGTGGAGAGGCAGATTGAGCAGATACTGGCTATTGCTCCAATCCTGCCTGGACAGACATTACAATCATCACAGCAACACCAAATCCCGCAGAACCTGCCGCTGGAAGACGCTGCACCGCAAAAACAGGCTCAGCAGCAGCAAGCTGCAAGCGCAGACTTGATAGATTTTGGGCAGAACGAGGAGTCCGCTCACCAGACACAATCAGCGCCCAAAGTACAAGAGCCGGAAGAGATGACATCTTCGTCGCTGCAGCAGCCATTGGTGCCGACACAGGCATCGCAGACCACGCCTGCTGCTATCGGTAGGAGAGGGGGATATGGCGATCCCATCAGGCGAATGGATAGTACCGGCGACGAGGACGTCTTTCACGACGCAGAGTCATGAAATTTTGCACAGGATGATTCTCGGGCATTAAAGGCGTAGGCACGAGCGTTGCTGCATCAGTTATATACCACACTCACGAAAGCATGAGCATTCAACAGAACATGTCTGCATCTTTCCACTTGAACGGAAAATCTTATACTGCATCTTCGTTCCAGGACGGAACCCACTCATAGTACACAGTAATTGTTTTTATGATTAACAGGGTCTGCAGATCAGGTTTGCGAAGGGATGTGAGGAGAATGGTAAAGTCGTCTTCTCAAAGATTACCCTAATCGGAAGTGTTCAACCCTTCGGTTTCGGATTGAGAGCTCTGGGGAAAGGTTAAGTAGTAAGGTTCAATGACTTGCATGTGTGAAAGATGAAGCTCTGCTTGATGATCGCGTAGTCTCCTCTTCATGTTAAATTTACCTATGTAGCAATGTTTGAGTAGAAAGTCTGGCGGCTGAGGCCATAAAGATTGCTGGAGAGTAATATCTATGTACTGACAGTCTGATGCTTCTTGGCGCGACGGATTCATTGTCAACGGCGCCGCAGCCTCACTTCACACACAAACGGCCGTCGCGACTGCTTCTACCCGACCGAACCAACAAGATGGCTTCATCAGACCCTCGAAAACGCGCCGCAGTTCCACCTCCACCACCACCGCCACCAACAGAAGAGAACAAGATGGAGGTGCCCGTCCACCCCGAATCGCGACCCGCAAGCGCAGCACCTCCCACAACAACACCTCCAAAACCACAAACCACCACGACAAAAGAAGAAAGCAATGGCGGCTACAAACTCCGCTTCTGCACCGTCTGCGCCTCAAACAACAACCGAAGCATGGAAGCCCACCTGCGCCTCACCACCGCCCCCTCAGGACCCTATCCCACCATCTCCTTCGGCACAGGCTCCCTCGTCCGCCTCCCAGGCCCCAGCATCTCACAACCCAACGTCTACACTTTCAACTCCACCTCCTACGCAAACATGTACGACGAACTCCTCGCGAAAGACAAACGCCTCTACAACGCCAACGGCATCTTACCCATGCTCGAGCGAAACAAAAACGTAAAATGGGGACCGGAACGCTGGCAGGATTGGAAAGTTGGCGTTCCGAGGGTGGGGAAGAGGTGGGTGAACCCCCAGCAACAGGAAGGCGTCGTCGCAGACGCGGAGTATTCTGAAGATAAAGGGTATCAAGGCACCGAAGCCGGGACTGTAGACATCGTAATCACATGCGAAGAACGGTGTTGGGATGCCGTGATCGATGATTTACTCTCTCGAGGCAGTCCTTTGAATCGCCCAGTTCATGTTTTTAATGTGGATATCAAGGATAATCATGAGGAGGCTTTGGTGGGGGGTCGAGCGATTTTGGAGTTGGCGGATGCGTTGAATGCTGCGGCGAGGGAGGAGAGGGAAGGGTTTTTGAGTTGTGGGGGGAGTGCGGAGGGGTTTGATCGCGGGAGGGCGGGGAGGGAGGGGTTTGATGAGAGGGTTCCGGATATACTGGCGAGGTGGCAGGAGAGGTGGCCGCTTTTGCCGGCGTTGTGGACTTTGGCTTGGTTTTGAGAGGGTGCTGGAAATGGGACTTTGAAGATGGAAATGGGGAGAGAAGAGATTGATCATGGACTTCGTGCTGAGCAAGATATTGCTCGAGGACCTCTACGCCGAACCGGATGTTCCAACGTGAATCGTGAGAACTGGTCGGGATAGCAGAGATGGTGGTCTCTGTTGACCTCTTATACTCGCATGAGGATTGCCATCCGCTCAACGCTCGGCGCACATTGAGAAGTCAGAATGTACTCGGAATGAGCTGGACCAGGTCTGTTGCAGAGGGGGACAATGAAAGTCGATATTTGAGGGAGAGTAGACTACATATGGACCGAAGCAGTGAGAGGAAGCTTCTGCTTTAGCATAGTAGAAAGAAAGCTTACTCAGATGTCCTTCGCGGCAGGCACCTGAGCTTTTGTGGAAATTTACAAATGCTTTCCAGCAGGTGAAGTTGGAATCGTGCGTCACGACAGTGCTTCCAAGTGCGTTTTCTTGATCCCAACGTGGTGCCATTGTGATGGAGACATGCAGGTACGCGTTATGAGAGCTAAGACAATAAGTGGATTCGTCGTGCCATGTTTGCATCAGGTCGTGTGACATCACGGGTGGTGTATCTTCGGCGTCAACGAATGAAGGTGGAGGGGTTCGTGGGGCACGTTGTGTTCGGTTCGGTTCGGTTGTTTCCAAGATCGTGGTCAAGAACACAGAACACGAATTGATAAGATACTAGAATTCGTTGACATTCATTTTCGAAGCTACATTTTTCGGTATGAATTTTCACATCAGAAAGTATTCTCTCTCTCCGCAGCAAGCTCGCACTACTGGGGGAAGTCCGAAGTTTGTGTTTCATAGCTCATAAGATCGTTTTTTTTACTTTGCTGCATTTACCTGCAAGTGTAGCCGCCGTCGATGAGGAGATCAGCACCAGTGGTGTAGGTCGAAGCGTCAGAGACGAAGTAAACGTAAGCAGCCTTGAGCTCCTTCGCAAGACCATCACGACCCATGGGGATCATGGAGTGCCACAGCTGCTGAATGTCTTTTGGCACGAAGTCGGAGAGACCGGTGTCGATGTAACCTGGCGAGATGGAGTTGACGCGAGCAAAGTCACGCCATTCGTTGGCGAGGGATTTGGCCATGTGGATGCAGCCGGCCTTGGAGACGTTGTAGGACGTTTGTTCTTGTGGGAAGTTGGCGATGTGGCCGGACATGGAAGAGGTGATGACGAGGGACCCGGTGCCTCGCTCCTTGAAGTGGTGGCCGACGGCTTTGGCGCAGTTGAAGGTTCCGTTCAAGTCGACGTTGATGACCTTGTTCCAGTCTTCGACGGAACCGTCGAGGATCCCGCTGTTGGCAGTGGCGCCGGCGTTGGCGATGAAGCCGTCGATCTTGCCAAAGTCCTTGATCACGTCGGAGACGAGCTTCTCCACGTTGGCGTAGTCTTGGACTTTGCACTCGTATACGCCGACTTTGACGCCGTACTTCTCCTGCAGCTCCTTGGCGTTCTTCTCCGCGCCCTCTTTTCTTGATGCGTAGGTGATGGCGAGGTCGGCTCCCATCTCTGCGCAGCCGCGAGCGGCTTCGATTCCCATTCCCTTGGGTCCGGAAGCGCCGGTGACGACGACGACCTTGCCCTTGAGGGAGAGGAGCTCAAGGAGCGACTCGGCTTCTGGGATTCTCTGAGGCATGTTGGTGGTGGGTGTTTGGATGTAGAGGGATTGATGAGGATCTCAGGGACGAATTTTGTTCAGTAGAGTGTGGATAAATGGATGAATGGGAAACAAGTGCCGCGATGGGCACGAGCAAATCTTTTAAACGGTCCTTCTGCTCCCAGCGACGTATCTGCATGGCGCGGTAGGGACAAGTCTTCATTGGATACGTAGCTGGTCGTCCGCTAGGATAGGCCTCGCCATGGCTATGCTGCCCCGCCATCCAGAGCTTCCCATCGTCATGGTGGGACCGGCGGGAGTTTTGGTTGACACAATGCTGACAAAATCTTATGGCATCGGGCCAAGCGCTGGAGGAGAGAATTGCCCGGCAGTTTTGTATGAAGCTGATGAGCGATGTTTGCTCATGCAATGCTTTGGTGGACATCAGTCAGGTGTTGGCAGACGTACATTCACTCACGGAGAGTGTCACGTTCCAGGAGACGTCAAGTGTGGAGCCATTCGGGCCCTCCGAGGTCTTCGGACAGCTGTGCACGAGCACCACCTTCAAGCTCCTGCTAATAATCACGATGACACTTTCACAACCTGGAAATCATGCCACCCGTTCCACCTGTCCCACTGGTGATGTTCTTGCATTTCTCTCTTTCTCCGCTCTCCTCTCCCTTTACTCCAACACACATGTAGCTTCGACACGCAAAGCAAGCATGGCCAACCGGCCATTCTCGGCACCCTGCATTGCAAGAACACACTCCGAATTGTTCCTTCACCGTCGGAATGCGTCCTGGACGCTGTTGACATTGATGCCACTCGGCTGGATGGGACTTACAGCCCACTATCTGCTGTGTTTGCTGATCAGCTGCTGCAGTATCCGAATCGTTCGGTAACGATCAGTGCTCCTCCTCGCTCTCTAGCATGGTCTCGCACATCTGTTTGAGCAGGGCTTCCATCGTCTCGCGCTCTCTCGAATCAAGAGTCGAAACTAGATATCTATGCGCGAAGCCAGCAACCTGCGCAGTACCGGCAATATCGCATAATCCACTTTTTGAGCAACGCGTGCAGTGCCCTGTCGCCCTTTCGCTTCTCGATAGCGTGCATGACGCGCAATAGACCAGTTTCATCCTCTTTGCGGCATACTTCTGAGGCCTCCTTCACCGCTGCGTGGAAGACTTCGTCGATAAGACGTGCAATTTCGTCGTTGAGATTGGAGATTGCGTCAAGATCGAGGTCGTAAAAACTGGCCCTGATGCGGGAGCAGACTTGCCACACATTCAGTTCGGCCTCGGTTGGGCCTTTTTGTGCAGGCGTCTGCATCGTTGGACTCGATTCGACCCTCGTTGCAGGAGACTAATTGCGAGCTCACAGGACCCATCGGAGACCGAGCTGATATATTCTCAAGCTAGCAAACTAGTCGACTTTCACGAACTTACCAGATTGACAGAACGCACGCGTACGCACTACCTCTCTCCGCCAACTACGAGCAAGTTCCAGTATTCAGGAACGTCTGACCGAGGGTCCTCTGGACGTAGAAGATGGGTTTCAGAGATCACACGACGAAGACATTCAACCACATTCCCTTGACGATCCCTCAAATCCTCAACATTGTCGTTCGAAGTCTAGAATGGATGCAAGAGCAGAGACATGTACTACGGTCGAGACCCGTGAAGAGCACCATAGGTGTATACAGAGCTTGAGATTCGCAGTCAAGGAGCATCTTGTCGGCGCAACGCAGAGGACGCCGCTGCTTGACCGACGAAGGATTTGGCAAGATATGCATGCTGAGTAAGTCTCTCCGCGCTATGATGGATTATACTTGAGGTACACCTTGCTCTGTGGCAGATGAGTGCCGACATCATCGTTGTTGAAAGCAGGCGCCTCCGAAGCCTTGTTTCCTGCAGCATCAAGATGCTCAAACTCCTCAAAATAAGCAAACCAAAAGGCGATGATCATGTTGATCTCCAATCTGGCGAAGCGGATGCCCAGGCATGGATGTCTGGGAAGGGCACTGTCAGTTTGGGCGAGCGAGCGGATAAGTTATGCACATACCTGCCGTGGCCCCAGCCCATCCATGAATAGATTTGCCGTTTGTCCTCCGCACGATCGGGCAGATAACGGGACGGATCCCATTTAATCGGCTCATCATAAACGTCCGCATTGAGGTGAGCGTCAAAGACATGCATCGCAACATATGTATTCGGTGGAATAACCTCTTCTGTGCCAGGAATCAGAATGTTTTGGTCAGAGATATTCTTCCGGAAAGCTGTTCCTGGCATGCCAAGACGCATCGTCTCTCTCAGGCACAAATATATCATTGGGAATTCCTTGTCCCAAGCGTCAAACGGCACCTTGGAAAGACGCTCCGCAAGAGGAAGTTCGGTGTCGTGGCAGTACTCGTTGGCTACGGCCACAACTTCTTCACGCACTCGTCGCTGCCATTCGATGTTATGAGCCAATTGCGTCAGAATCCACGCTCCTTGAATACCTGTGTTGTTCTGGCCTGCGAAGAGACTGCTGATCACAAACTGGACAGGTGAGATCAGCTTCGAGCCATATGCTTGGACGGACAGGACAGATGCAGATGACCTACCTCGATTACAGCGACTGGGGTATCTTTGAGATTGACCAACATCTGGAGTGTATCGTTGAACTTGTCGCCGACTTTTCTCTGGTCCGTCAACTTCTTAAAAATCATGAAAAGCCGGACTCCGCCATAAGTCCGCATGACCTTGCCCCAAGATGGTATCCATGGAAACATGATAGTCAGAGGACTTGTCGCGCCAGCAATCTGCTCAAAGTAGTGCAGTGTCTGCTCTCGCAGGACAGGATCATCGGCCAGCTCATCGCATGCAGAGAGTCGTACAGTCAGCTGGAACACAATGCGATATATGCTTTGGAACGGGTCGGTGAATGCTTTTGGGTCCTTCTTCAACTCATCGAGCGCATTCCGGACATCTTTGATCATCCAGGGAATGCAACCAGAAAGCTTCTCGCTTTTCATCATGGTGATCATTCGGTATCGAAGCTTTGCATCCTTGTCTGTGAGATTGAGGTCCTCGGACTTGGGATTTACCACGATATTCCTCTTTACAGTAGGAACGCCGGCGAGCAGCACTGAATATGCTTCTGCTGCACTCAAAGCTTTGGAGTCGAAGAATAGTCTTCGCGACGACTCCTCGACGGCGGAGAGCCCGATCACAGGATTTTGACCTGCGTAGAAGGAGAAATGGCCAGACTTGCTCGCTTTGTGTGCTCGCTGATAGAAACTCCATCGTTCGCTGAAGAATGCTGGGCTGCCAATTATGGGCCATGACTCTTTGGTGAGGGGCGGTGCATTGCTTGGAAAGGATGGCTTTTGGAAGAGATATGAGAAGATGAAGCCAATGGCTAAAAGGCTGAAGAACGGAATGGCGAGGCTTGTCGTAACAAGACGATCCAACGCTTCGAAGATTGCCATGAGGACGACCTGAGAGTGTTGTGATGATATTGATCCTGGCCTACGAGAAAGTAGCTCTGGGACTGCAGTTCTGCGTCCAGCTGCCGGCGAAATGATGTTACGAGCCCGAAGTATCGTGTCACGTCGTGGCCAAACCCTCGTAGGAATCTTTCTGCAGATGTTGAGAGGCAGGCTTACAACTCTCAGAATGCTGGTGGGTCAGTAGAACGGCGCTAAATTGTGCTGCCCATGTTAGGCTTGAACCGATTTACTAAGGTTCAGCTAATGCAATACAGCCATTGGTACCTACTACCTTGAGCGCTGGTGAAGATCAATAATGCATGCCGAATAACAAAATATCCAAGCAGAGCAGACTACCAAGGCATCGGCCTCTCGTGGGAAGAAATCGAGAAGAGTACTTGGACACTTCAACAATGCGAGCAATGTGAAAGCTGTTCATCTAAACAACTACACAGTATGCATTCATTTCTTGTAATAACTCTCTCGCTGGTTGCCTTTGCGGTCTCAGTGATCGCTCTGCTACAATGGCTTATCTCGCCTCGAAGAGACCCGCGAGAGCCCCCATATCTGCCAACAAGCACACCAATCTTCGGGCACCTTTTCGGTGTGCTGGGCCAAGGCGCCGACTATTATTGCTTGATGGACGAAAAGTACCCCGGCATAGGCTTATACGGACTGCCGATGTTGAATGGAAGAATGTACATCGTCAGCTCAGCAGAATGGGCTACTGCGCTGGAGAAACGAAGCAATCGATCTGTAAGTCTTGAACTCATGATCGTAGATGTCGTTGGGAAAGTGTTCTGCTTCGATGAAAAGACCGTAGCGATTCTCAAGGATAATCTGTTCGGCGAAGATGGTAGCAGGCCGAATTTGGTCATGGAGAATCACAAGTTGATTCATGCCAGCCTCGCGCCAGGAGATGAGCTCGAGGAATTGAAAGTACGGACTTTGGGCAATGTGTCAAAACACGTCAATACGCTGGCGCAGGCGGTCGATACAGGCGACAGGAATGTCTTGGGTCTTTGGAGCTGGATCAGAGAGCATCTATCACAGTCAGCACTTCAGGCATTTTACGGTTTAGACAGCCCTGTCACTGCGGACTCAGCGCTTATGAAGGACTTTTGGATTTGGGAAGAGAACATTCAAGTGCTTATGATGAGCCCTGCACCCTCAATCCTCGCTCGAGATGCGTTTTTGGCAAGAGAGAGATGGTTACGAGCTTGGGAAAAATATGTGCAGCAGGGACGCTACAAAGGCGCTTCTAAGTTCATACAAGATCGAGTGGCTCTTCACATGAAGGAGTTTGATCTCACAGAGGAAGCCTACGGTCGAGTGGAGTCCGGAACACCGCATGCACTGTTGGTGAATATGGTTCCGTCCTCTTTCTGGTTCATCAGCTACATCTTCCAAGACCCGACACTGCTGGCCGAAATCCGGCAAGAGATCGATCGATGCATCGCGAAGAACGGCAGCCGGTATGAACTCAACGTTTCCAAGCTTCGAACATCATGTCCGCTGTTCGGGAGCACTTTCAAAGAGACACTACGTATCGTGGCACCACTCCACACGAACCGAGTCATCGCAGAGGACACTCTCGTCACTCATCCTGGCACCGGGCAGACGTGCTTACTGAAGAAAGGCGCTACGATTCAATACGCCTCGACCTTGATCCACAAGAATGAAAGTGTTTGGGGAGAAGATGCGAATTCATTCCAAGCACGTCGATTCTTGCCCATGTTTGAGAAGAGTATGGAAGGCAGAGGCATGGACCCAGCGACTTCGTATCGAGATGGAGGTGGGAGAGTGCATACCGGTTCATTCCGATCGTTTGGTGGTGGATTCAATGTCTGTCCCGGACGGCATTTCGCAGAAGCGGAGGTACAAGGCATCGCTGCGTTATTTTGCGCAGCGTTTGATATGCATGGCAAAGATGGTCAAGCGTTCGCTACGCCACCTGTGGAAAAGGCGAACGGGTTTCTCTTCACTGCCGCAGTCAAGCCAGCTCATGATGTACAAGTCAGGCTGGCCAGAAGGAAAGGATATGTAGGTGTCCAGTGGCAATTAACTCTATAGTATGCAGTATCTTGTGTGTAATGGCCTCGTGCATCTTCTACGGCTTTTCTTTTGACTCCCTCCTCGAGATCCAGACTCTGCAATCGTCGTCAGTACCATGTGTAGCAGTCGTCTTTCTGGAGGCAGGCATCTTCCATTCTCCACCTCCTGCTGCTTCCATGTCCCACATTGAGATGATCGCAGCTGTGAAGATCATCACCTCCTTCACAGCAAAATGTCGTCCTTTGCACATACTTGAGCCGCCGCCTGCTTCGAATTAGCATACGAACTTCACTTTTCAGCTGATAAATTTCACTTACCATACGGTCTGATTGTGCCCAAATCTGCAACATCATAGCCCTTCTCAGGATCGTACTTGATGTGGCGATTCGGCTTGAATTCTAGAGGGTCCTCGAAATAATTCGGATCTGTGTTATGAAGCTCGTGTGCTGCATGGCAGTAGTCTCCCTTGCGGAGAAGCCAGCCTTGACTGTCCTTCCTGGCTTGCAAGCTGAAGTCTTCTTTGACCATCTTGAAAGACCAGCTCGCAGTGTGCACTCGCAGACATTCGATATAACAGCTTTTAAGCAGGGCGCATCGCTCGATCAATCCGTTGTAGTCGAGGCTCTCAAACCCAGACGAGGCTGACGATCCCTGTCCATCGACGGATCCTCGCAAGCCTGACCCTGCACGCAGCCGAATGTAAGGCTGTATCTCCGCTCGCAATTGTGCCAGCAGATCTTTGTCCATGTAAATGCGGTTCAGCATCCAGAAGGTCAGGCCATTGGAATTCGCGTTCGCTGCCCAATTCAGAGAGTGTTCGTAGGCCGCTCTCGCTCGTAGAGACCATCCATACTTCTCATAAACATTCTGACGCTCTTGTACGTAGTGCCCGACATCTTGCAGACAGGGCCAGTCTGGACCCGGATCTGCTCCCTTCCTGCGCTTTTCCATTGCCCTCTCGAATAAAAGAAGGCGTTCGACGATTCGATCACGAGCCGCTCGACCCTCTTTCATCCCAGGGAAGGGCACCCACCAAGGCAGATTTGCGATCAGCTTGAAGAACTCCTTGTCTACAGTCCAGATGTCGTCAAAGAAGTCGGGGAAGTTGTTGAGGAAGTCTGAGCCCATGATCGACGGACACGACATGTTAGCAATGAAGTCGCGGACGAGTGTGAAGAGACTTGCCTCAAAAACATCGTGACCTTGCTTATCCGTCGTTTTCCTGACACGAGACCGTCGCTCCCATGGCTTCTGCTCTACCAAATCCTCGGATCCAGTAACGAAGTCGGCGAGATTTTCTTGCGCCCTGCGCGTTGTCCGCTCTACCATGACTCCCAAAAACTCTTCATTCACAAGGTATTTCCCCAAAGCATGCAGTTCGCCCGCAGCTTCCTGAAACTTCCTGCCTTCATCCTTGGGAAAGCCGAAAACGACGATGCCGATGTGCTCTGCAACGTCGTTGACATTTGCTTTCTCATCTTGCGCAAAGAACGTGTGTGTCAAGCCGGGCGTGTGCAAGATGTGGTGTCGAGTGCCCAGGAGGTTGAGAGAAAAGATTCCGCCAGAATACTTGCTTCGTAGGCGATTTAGATAGCTGTTTGCGTTCCAGACCAGATTCAAAGGGTGTCCGAGATATGGTAGCCATGAGGGCTCAACGGGTACTGGGACTACGCCCTTTTCCAATAGTGGACTGTTGTTACTCTTTCGTAGCCCGACATGTCGTACGATGAGAAGAAATGCAAAGCCAGCGACCAGAAGGAGCAAGGTAGGTGAAAACGACGCTCGTTTGTCCAAAGTAGCACCTTCGAAGGTTTTGTGGTGATTGCTCAGGTTACTCTGACCCGGTCCAAGCATGTCCATGTTGCTTGCTATAGCTGCAAGGAGATGAAAAAGCTGGACTCGATGATTCACCTACAAGACTTGTTGTCTCTGAAGCATTTTCAACTCATGTCCAGGTACCGATAAGCACACGCTTCTCCACCAACAAGCTGCCATACTTCCTTCGTCGCTGCTCGACAACATCATCGGCCCAATGAGCGATTCTATTCGTGTGCCAAAACGACTGCCGTACGAAGCTCGACTGAAAGGATTGCCGCGAGTGAATCGTCGGTGAGCTTAATCATGAGACATGTCGGCGCTATGCTAAAACATTTGCAACTCAACCCGACAATTGAGGCATCACAGGCTTATCGATCCGCCCGGAAAGTTTCAACTGGCTGATGCATGTGAACGGAGATCATCCTAGTGATTTGTCGAAGCTCTTCGCTGGGGCCCAAATATAACACCGTACTAGCGGCCGTGCGCTGGAGTGGGTCGTGCCTATGCTCTCGGAGTCGGTGAGATCTTAGTATCCGCTCCGTAGTGTGCGTGACTATAGAAAACGTAATTTCCGTATCGTAGCGCGTCGCGGTTGCTAGGTTAACTAGTAGTAGTAGTAGTAGTACGATTTCCGCTAGTATACTAACTATTAATAGCGAGAGGTCGTATAGTCGCAATTTAATAGATTTCGTACTATTTTAATAGATTTTAACGATCCTACTATCTCTACTAGTAGATAGTAATTATATTACTAGAAATAAAGCTAAAGTTTATTAGTAAAATAGTAGTATAGTAAAATTTAAGATATAGTTAGCGATTATAGCTATTTTAATAGCGTTAATATATATTAGAGAGTAGCGGTATATAAGGTATACTATTATAGACCTATATCGCGCTCGAAGACGTATATTACTACCTATTTAATACCGGTAGTATTAGTAGAGATATATAGAAGCTATTAGTTACCTAAGCGACTTATACGACCTACGCGATAGCGGAATTTAAAAGAAAACGCGACAAGAACGTATAGATACTACCTAGAACTACTAACGGCGCTTCTTTACTAAAGTTTAGCTAAGCTAGCGCCGCTAGTACTCGCTTAGATATATATTCTTACCCTATTTATTTCTCTATCTATTTCTTCGACTACTTCGGCTTCTTACTTATAGTATCTACGCTCTTACCTTTCTACTTCTTTAGTAGCGGCGCTATATCGTTAGTCGCTTTTAGAAGATAATAGCTCGATATAACGTTACTTTAAGTTAGTAATAGCGCTTATAATAGCTTCGGCGCCTTTACTAGTATAAGAATAGCGTTCGGATATATATTCTTAAAGTAAGTAAGAAGGAGGTCGGTAAAGCCCTTCCTAATATTATTACTAGACTTATTAGTATCTTCGAGATTGTTAGGACTAAAGAGGTTATATATAATTAGTATATAACTAGGCTCGAGCAAAGTTAGGGTCTTAATGCCTTAGGTAGGGCTTAGCGCTTAGTAATAGGCTAACTCTCCTATCTTCCTCCCTCTTCTTCTAGATCCTTATCGAATACTACCTATACCTACTACTACCCTATCTACTTGCTAATATACCCTTCTTATATAGTATTCGATCTACCCTTTAAGGGTAGTAGCTAGATAGTCCTTATTTTAAGGTTTTAGTAGTATAGCTCCGAAAACCGTTAATCTAACTATATTGCGCCCGAAGAACGGGACCTATACGTACTATTCTATTAAACAACCGTACTAATTATTAAGCAAGGCCTTCTATACGGCCTATTATACCGAGTTAATTATACTAGACCGATATCTACTAATTCCGCTATATCCGTATTATAAGGGGCTATAATATATTATTAGTATTACCTCTTATAATAGCCGGCTTATTACTAAGCAACAACCGCGGCGCTACTAGCAGCGCTAGCAATAATAATACTAGTAACATAGAGCCTATTAAGGAGCCTATAGTTCTAGGCGATAATCTAGAATTGCCTATTAACGACATTCTTAATAACATTATTAACCGTCGATATAGCTAACTAGCCTTCGGCCCCTAGCTAGTAGCGAGACTTTAAGAAGCTACCTAAAACAGGCTCGCTGCCTTACGTTAGGAATAATAGCTAAAGGATAACCTCCTCGAGCTTCGCCGCCTTTAGGAAGCCCCGACAACTACTACTAAACTAATAGTAGGACCTTCTTTACTACCTATCTAAAAGAAGGATACTAAACTTAAGGACTATACTATATTCGATAGCTCTAGTCGCAAGCAATACAATAACTATATACGTAATTATAAGCTTAACTAACGAAATGTACTAAGGGCTCTTCTAGACGACTATTTACTAGTTGTCTATACTATATAGTATATTAATAGCGACCTAAAGCGTACCTAGGATAACTATTTTAACTCCCTCGATAATTAGACTACTATTTAGTAGCAAACCTATAAAACTATTATACTAGACACCCTTAGAAACCCTATACTAAGGCAATAACATACTTAGGACTAGTACCTTCGGGCTAAACAAAAGACTAATTAATCGGCTCGCTTATTTAAGGCCTATTTAAAGACCCTCGAGGATAACCTTCCGGCTAAGACTAATTCTATATAGATTTCCGAGATACGCCTAAAACTTAGATAGGAGCTTATTCTCGAATTAGACCGCCGCCGTATATTTAAATAAGCTAACCTAATACGCATTTAATTTATAGTCGAGGTAGAAACAGCTAAACGAGCTGTCTAGCTCTAGTAACGACTAGAATTAAGGATCCGACCTGCTAGTACTAACCGTAGCAACCGTAGCCGCGGAGGAAACTAAGGTTCCTACTAAGACAATAATACTAATAATAGGAATAGTAACAACGACCGTAGAAGAGGCCGTAGCCGACGGCTATATAAAGGAGGCTATAATAGGGGCCGTAGAAGGGGCTCGTATCCCTATAGTACTAATCGCTTAACTAATAATAGTAGTAATAGCAGCTATAGCAATCCCCTAACCGGATTGAAATGCTTTAATTATAATAGTACTAGCTATCTTCTAGGCTAATACGACAAACCTAGGGACTAGGCCCGAATCGACCGTACTACCGCCGATTACCGAAAGTACCTTTTAGTAGCTAACGCTATCCCTATAGGCTAACCTTCTAATTAGTCGAAAAAAGATTAGGCGCTGTACTAACTATTAGCCTCGTACGGCGTAAGACTATCGACATTATACTAGCTATTATACGTACCTATCTCGTATCGGACTCGTATAGCACTAATTATAAGACTAAGGTTATACTAGATCTAGGAAATTCAGTTAGTGCCCTTATTAGCTATCGCCTAGCTAAGCAATTAGACCTTCGACAATTGCCTAGAACTAACCTACTAACCCTTGCTTAGTTTAATAACGCTCGGCACTTAACTTATAGGGCCTACTATATCCCTATAGTTCTAAAGGACGACCTCGGTAATAAGCGCCTACTAGACTTTACTACCTACGTTATAGATATAGACTACCTATATAGGGGAGCTACTATTGTTATTAGTAACCCTATTCTTAAGCACTACGCTATAGCTATAGACTTAGGCAGTTAGTAATAGCGATTTAGAATCGCTAGAAAAGAGGACATTAAATATATTAATACTAGCGAGTGCTCTAACGACATTAGGGTCCTATTTATTAGCAACCTAACTCTAGCTAATCCGACTACCGACCTACTCGGTAGTAATAACGACGAACCTATACCCCCTAATAGCATAGACCCTAATTAGCTTACTCGTATACTATAGCCTGTTCGAGAGACCTATATTAATATATTTAAATACTACCTAGTATCGACATTGCCTATATTTAAAGAGACGGACTATAAGATCGATATTATATAGGGTAAGGAGGTTCCTTTTAGGCCCCTCTATAACCTTAGCAAACGAGAGCTTGCTATATTACGTAAGTACCTAGATAAGAACCTAGCTAATAGTCGAATCTAGTATAGTAATAGCCCTACTAGCGCACCTATCCTGTTCGTACTAAAGAAGGATAGTAGCCTACGCCTATATATTAACTATCGTAGACTTAATGCTGTTACTATTAAAGACCGCTATCTACTCCCGCTTATTAATAAGACCCTCGATCGCCTATCTAGCGCCTATTTCTATACTACGTTAGACATTAAGGATGTATACTATCGCATCCGCATCCGCAAGGGTAATAAATAGAAGACGGCCTTCTGCACTCGTTATAGCTATTTCGAGTATTTAGTTATACTATTTAGACTAGCAAATGCCCCCGCTATATTCTAGTCCTATATTAATCGGGCCCTATTAGGCCTATTAGACTACCTCTATATAGTCTACCTAGATGATATCCTAGTCTATATACACTTACCTAATATTGTAGAATATTAGGCCGCTGTGCGTAAGGTACTCGATCGCCTAAGGACCTATAGGCTATATTGTAAGCCTTCTAAATATACCTTTACTGCTAAGGAGGTGTCCTTCCTTAGCTTCCTCGTATTAACCGAGGGTATTAAGGCTAATCCTAATCGGATTAAGACTATTACTAAGTAGCTAATACCTACTAGCATTAAGGAACTCTAATTATTCCTAGGTTTTGCTAACTTCTATCGTCGCTTTATTAAGAGCTATTTATAGTATATAATGCCCCTAACTAAGCTTACTAAAACTAAGGCTAACCTAACTAGAGAGTTTAAATAGACTAATAGAGTATAAGCCGCTTTTAACGGTCTAAAGCAACGCTTTACTAAAGTCCCCTTATTGTACTATTTTATACTAAGCAAGCAGATCCGTATTAAGACTAACGCTTTACAGTTCGCTATATTAGCTATTATATTACAGCAATTAGATAATCACAATTACTAGCACCTAATTGCCTTCTTTTTACAGAAGATAATCGATATAGAACGTCGATACGAGACCTACGAGTAAGAGCTCTTAGTAATCGTAGAAGCCTTTAAGCACTAGCGCTACTATCTCGATAGTACTTAGTATACAATTTAGGTCTATACGGACTATAACAACCTACGTAGTATTACTAAGGTTA